GTAGTTTTGCTTTAGTGTGTCAATGGCTTTCTTAAAATGAGACACAGAGCTCCAGATGTGGTGTGACAAGTGTCAGATGGAGGGGAAGAATCAGTTCCCTCCAAACCTACCAGTGGTACTCAGCCCAGTTGGCAGCTGGGCACATTAGCTCCAAGAGCCCTCGGCTGACTCACATTCAGCTTGTCCAGCACAACCCTCAGCTCCTTTTCTACAAAGCTGTTCTCTATCCAGTCAGTTCCCAGCCTGTCCCACCTGGGGGGTTGTGCCAACCCAGTTGCAGGACTTTGCATTTGTCTTTGCTGAACTTCATGAGGTCCCCAAGAGCTCATTTTTCCAGTCTGACTAGGTCTGTCTGATACACCCTGCCTTGCAGTGTATCAGCCACTCCCCCCAATTTGGTATCACCCACAAATGTGCTGAGAGGTCATTCTATCCCATCATCCTGGTCATTACATCAGCCATTTCAAGAATCCAAGGTGATGTAACCTATATAAAGAAAGCAAGTCAAATATCCTTCCAGAGATATGCTGGAGACTTCAAATTTTGTTTTAGAAACATGCACACATGGCATTGCCAAGTTGTTTTTTTCTCAAGATATAAAAAATAAGAAGTAGCCCTGGGTTCCACAAGGAGCAGGCCATGAGTCTTTTTTTGGATGCAAATGCAGAATGTAGAACTTGACTTAGAGAGTGCAAATCTGGAAGGCAGAGATGACTGTCAGAACCTAAGAGCTAAGCAAGCTGCAAGTTATTTATAGAGTCTTTCCCCAGCATCTCCAGTGTGTGCCTTTGCTCAAAGATGGGCAATACATTTCCATGCCATAAAAATGGACAGAACTGCATTGGTAAACATGTGGTGCTCTGAGGACATTCTTGCAATCTCCCTGCCTGCCTGGGTGGTTGTGTGGATGGAAGGGACTCTGTGCTAGCAGCTGTTGTACTAAAGGAGCAGAGGGGAGAATGGGGATCAGGAAAAAAAAAACAAAACTAGAGGGAAGAGAAAACTGTAGGAGTAATTCAGCTCCTCTGCAGACATTACAGCAGTTTCAAGAACATTTCTGTAATAACAACCTTTCCAGCACACAACTGTCTGTTATGGGCAGTGACACACTACATGGTGTTTTTGCAGCATGGACAGAGTAACATTGTTCCTAAAGGGCAGGAAAGGACAATGCTACAGACATGACCCCCAAAACTCTCTTGGGACATATTGTGCTACTCAGAGACTTACTATCACCAGAGACATTACAAGTTATGCTATAGGCTGGTAGAGTTTTAAAGCTAGATTTTGTGGCGTATGCTGGAACTGCATTTGAGATAATACATGTACATTGCAAAATACTCTAAATCAGCGTAGCAGAATGTTTTCTTATCTTCCACATGGAGCTTGTTTCTCCAAACTTGGCTTTATAACTCTTGTACACTTTGGGACAACATCTCCAACAACATGAGCTGAAGAAAACACTGGTAAACAGGAAGCATTGGTTGTGAAAAGGAACTAAGAGAAGATGGAAGGACATGAAAGTGAGGAAACCCAGCCAAAATGGGAACAAAGGCACTGAATGTTTCCAAACACTCAGATAATTAAGGCTGTTTGGTTTGGTATTTTTATGAAGACAACAATGATAAAGAAGTTGTGTACTACAGGGACGTTCAGTATCTGAAGGAACATACACTTGTAAAGGATATATTCCAGGAAAAACCTGTGTCCCAATCCAATGTTTAAGAAGATGTGGGATAACTCAGAGATGTTTACCAAGCATAGCAATAAGTAAACACAGTCATTTGACTTAACTGCTGGGAAACAACTCTTCAGTTCCAATTATTCTGATACCCTCACAGTAAGGCACATGCTTCTTTCCTTATTTTCCTCCAGGAGACAGTGCCACAAAGAACCCAATCTGGAACTTAATCTGGGATGCAAAACATCAAATTCCTGTTTTCCAGCTCTGCTACAACCATAATAAAGAATAAGTAAATCATCCTGCCTCCATTCCCATGTCTGACAATGAGAAAATAATTTCTTTCACCACTCTATTAGTTCATTAATTCAGTGAGGCAGCAGGTATGCCCTATGGCTTAAATGCCACATGCTTAATGCTGTAGGCATTTTTTAGGACTTTGCTTAGACATCTACAGACCCTAATACTTCTGTACTCATCAGCAGCAACACTACATTGGTTCACAACAAGCTAAATGCAGAGTATTTGTAAATTTGACCGAGGTAGGTGCCATGCCTTTTCATTTCTCAGGAAAAATAACTGCTGTTACTAAATAAAAATTTTAATGGAGCTATTTTTACTACAAAAATACAGCTTTTCAGCTGTTAAGTCAGCAGTAAATCTACTGTTACACTTAAGATCACTACCTTCACCTGATCACAGGGTAGTAGATAACTTGCACTTGGATTAACCATATTTTAGACCATTCTAGCACTTTCCATAAACATTTTAACATTTTGGGTTATTATACTCTGCCATTTTCCTGCATGTACATAATCCCGGACCCTGAGAAATGAGGCTTTTAGAACTCATTTAACAGATTTCCAATAACAGTGTTATGCTGTGAGAATGTTCCTCAGTACAGCCATGTGTCTAAATTACATTAATCTATTTCTCAGATTTAAATACAATTAAAGCAATCATAAGGCACATGCAGCCTTTTTTGAGAAAGTACATTTGAAAAGCAAATGCTTCTCTCCGCCCCTGCACAGCTCCAGATGACAGACAGAAAGAATTCATCAGAAAGAAGGAAAATGCCATTTGTCTCATAGGACTTAGGCCAGTTTCCAATTGCTTCAAATAGAAGAAAAGAAACACTACAAAAAGAAATATGACAGGTCTACACTGCTACGTAAGTTTTTAATTAAGAAATTTAAACTGAACCAAATCTAATTTTAAAAACATGACTCCATTATTTTAATCCATATTTTCTTAGCCATATGCCTGGCAATTAACTGGACAATCTAGCTCTGCCTCAATAAAAGTATTTCCTTCTATCAGATTTCCTCCCCTCTCACCAGTTTCACTGGATGTTCTCCTTTGAACTTTTACTATACTCACAGGAATCAGAACTCATGACTTGCATTCCTTATTTCATCACTATATACAGTTTCTCTCCCCACACATCTTTGTGTACTTTCTGATAGAAGCAGCTGTAGTCTGAGCATTTCAGTCTTATTTGATTTTTCAGTGGTTATAAGGTTACTTTCCTTTCTTCAGAGAAAAACATATCAGCAGCGCTAACACATTGCATCAGTCAGCATCCTGAAGAACAACATGAAATGTAATTCATCTTGCTCCCTTGGATACTGTTTTCATTGTCATATGCAATGGCATGCTGAATGGGATAGTGTTCAAGTGGAAGTTTCATTAAGCAGCTCTCGGACACCATTAAAGTGTTCTAATAGGTGTGACTTATTGACCGGAAGAGTCGGTAAACAAATGAAGTATAAGTGACAGTGCGAGACCAGAGTAACAGTAATTAGCGATGTGACTCCATGAGTAATAGGAAAATTGTCCTGACCCAGTTGATGGCAATAGCAACAAAATCTTTAAAAAATGTAAAAAAAAATAATCCCCAACAGATGAGTTTTCTGCCAACACGTCTAAGGGTCGTGAGCAGCCTTTCTGGTTGCCACACAAGCCACTGCACTCGTGTTCCACTCCAGCTGTGCTGGGGCACACAGTGGCAGTTGTGCTCCCCATGCTGGCCAGAGCCACACACAGGGGTGGAAGGAGAGGGACAGGCTGGCAGCATTGTCCCAGCACGCCTCACCTGCAGCTGCTTGATCCTGCAGGCATCAGGGCTTCACAGGAAGCCTCCACCTTCCCCTCTCTGCAGAACACCGGCACTCTGGTGGGAACCCTGCTTATCTCTGCCATGTGGAGCTCCCACAGGCACCCTGTGCCTTGCAAAGCGCCGTGCACAGCCCTGGCTGAGCTGCCACACCTTGCCTGGTGTTCTGCAGGGAGTTGCACAAAGGCCCACCAGGTGTACAATGGCATATCAATATCCTGCCTCCAATCAATGTTCCACGTTTGTCCCATGCTCCCCTCACTTCAGTGCCAACACAAACATTTCAGAGAGCTTGGATTAATGAGAGCATAACAAAAACAAATCTGATCTGTCTGTGCATGTTTGTTGTCTCCTGGAATCATATCACATGATTTTCCACCTCTCCTGAATAAAGACAAATATTATAACACAGAAATCAAAGCATTTTAATGCAAAAATTCCTCAGTATGTGCATGAAAAAATGATTTTATTTCTTTGATGAGAATACCATTCACAAAAACCCCTCACCAAACTACCAGCTTCTCTCCAAGAGTAAGATGACATGACAAATAAAAAATTCTTTGTAAACTCCATAAATAGAACTAGTTTTATTTCTCTTTCCATATCCTAGCAGTGTAGGCCTCAATGGGATCCTATGGGGGTAATATCCTGGAATATAATAATGCCAAAAAAAAAAAAGAAAAAGTATGAGCACCACAAGACAAAACACATGCTCACATAATCAATACTCTATATTTCAGGGCTCCTGATTGCTTGAACAACTGACAGGAAATGCACTGGTTTCAGTGCAATAATAAAAGGTCTGAAGAAACACTTGGAAAGTATGAATACAGAAAAAAATCACATAAAAGCAAGTCATATTGTCTGTGTGTTGAGAGAAGCAATGAAACTGATTGTAATGTATGTTTTACAAAATAATACAAGAGTTGGAAAGGGAATGGGAAAATATACAAATATACAATGTACAAAAAAATTACTCACTTTTAGAGTTTATTTTGTTTGAGGTACAATTAACAAGTTTTTATCAAGCTACAAATATCCGTAACCGGTTTAGGAGTTGGTTGTCCTTTAGTCATCCAAGGAAAGGAGCAATCAGTAGATGAAGTCTGGCTGATGCAGACTCCAGATAGAGCACGTCTTCAGCACTGGTTATAATTAACCACCAGACTAACTTACAACACAGTTCCTGCTTTCCTCTTCTAGATCTGGATTAAACTACCTAGAACTGCTGTAATTCAAAAGGAAAATCCAGCTGCCAGAGCAGGAAGGTGTGGAGGAGCGGAGAGGCGGCCCCACCAGAGCCGCGGGGTGTGACCCCTGTGCCCGCGCTGCGCTCCGCTGCCCGAGTGACAGCTCGCAGCTCCCGCCGGCTCCTCCAGCGGCAGCTCCTCCCTTCTGGCCAGATGGACAGCGCAGCTTGGACTTGGGCTCCGGGGGACCCGGCTCGGGGCAGAAAGCAGCCTTTTATAGCCGGCACGCCGGGCTGCGGCTCACACCTACACACTGCGCTGCCGAGCACAGCGGCGCTGCCGGACCCGCGCCCCCGCCCGTCGCTGCCCATGGCGCCGCTGCCCCCGCTCCTGCTGCTGCTGCTGCTGCTGCCGGCGGCCGGTGAGTAGAGCCGGGCCCCGCGGGGCTCGGCACCACACGGTCCTTCCCGGCGGGGAGCGCCTCGTCCGGACCCGGCCGGATGGGGCTTGGCAGGTGGGAAGAGGGACAGAGAAAGGAGCGTTAGAAGAAACGCTGACGGGAGGTGCCTGTGTTGCCACGGAGAGCAGCCCCTGTGACAGGTGGCCAGCGCTCGGGCACAGCTGGGTGGGACTCGCTCAAGGGAACCCCGATTTGCGCTGCCAGCGGCGGCTGGAGCTGCCCCGACAGCCCGGCCCGTGCTCGGACCCGCCTGCACAGGGCAGCGGGGCTGCAGGGGCGCACAGCACTTCTGTGAAGTTCATCAGTGGTGTTCAACTCCGCTAACGAAGTTCCGTGTTTGAAATCAGTGTGCAGCTTGCACGTGCAATACCAAGCTTCCTATAAAGCCGGGAGCTTTACCCCGCTCTTCTCTGGGTATTGGAGTGAGCTGTCACGGAGCAGAGTTACTAAGCAGTTGAGAAGCAAGAATTGCTAGGACTGAGATCGCCTACAAAACCCTAATTGGGTTATTCTGAAAAATGAATCAGTCTTCATGAATAAGTTATGATGTGAGAATGTAATTAAAGGACCCCTGCCTCACACCTTCACACAGCCAATTAGTCACTTTGCAAATATTTAATTATTTTTTTTGTCTCCTACATCCTATTTATTAATCAGTGTTAAAGACTGGTTGTAACAATTCACAGTCCATTTCCTCTTAGGTTTTCTGAGGTATTCATTAGTACAGTATCTGATTGTACTAGTTTCTCTGAAACTCTATTATCACCCCTCTTTTTCAGATATGTATGTGGGCTGACACAAAAAAGCATCCTCTAATTTTAGGTTCCCATGGTGACATGGTAGAACCCAATTTAACTTACAACTACATAAAATTATGCAGAACTCCAACTACTCAAAGCCTTCTAGTTCTACTGAGTGCTGTGGTAGCTTGGTACTCCAATCCCAGCATATTCAGCAGGCTGGGAGCCTACTATTTGTAAACATCAATAGGCATTGTTTTAAAGTGATTAAATTAACCTCATGCTGAACCTTTGTGACAGCTGCAAGGATAAAATCCTATCTTCCAGAATAGCAATCAGCTGCCTTAAGTAAAAGATTCTCTTGCAGTTTTTTTTATACATTCCTACACAGTTTGCAAATCTTGCAAATAGCAGGATCCTAAAGAAAAGAGCCTCAATTAATTCCTACAACAGATTCCAGGCACAGAATGGAGCAGGGTCTGGGGAAAGGCAGTCCTGTGATTAAAGCCCATAAGGTAAGGTGCTTGCATAATGGGGCCAACTTAGGGCCCCCCAAGCTCCCTGCCCCAGTTCTACTTCCTGACCTTATAATGCCCTTTGATTCCTTCTGCATTTTGATCATCCTCCAGACTTCATCCTTTGCATGGGACAAACCTCAGAAGACCAGTAAGGAAAGCAATGAAATCACAGTTTCTGCCAGCTTGGAGTGCTCATTACAGAGAGCCTGGCTGCGCTCCGATTGCTCTGAGTCAGGCACCTCAGTCACCCACTCCGTGGGCAGTGAGGAGCACGGGAAATGCAATTTACCTGTTTCCCAACTGGTCCAAAGTATCAAAACAGGCAAATTTAACCTTTCAGAAAATTTACATGTGACCAGAGTTTGTGGAGATAGCACATAAGTTGTCTGGGCAATAAAATGAGGTGAAAAAGGCCATTCCTGATGACTTATAAAACAAGAGGTAAAAAGCTAAGCAAAAACTAAGGTTTCTGTAAGGCATACAGTTATTTTTTGTAAGATTTTGGAAATGCATCAGAAAGTCTGCTTATTCCCAAGTTTCAAGTTCTGAACTACTGGAGCCTTATGACTGTATAGAGATATCCCTAAAGGACATTTTACACATATTTACCATAAAAAAAAGTTTCTGTACCCTCAGTCTTTAAAAGAACAGCTTAAAAATTCTTTCTAAACCCACAAAACAGCATATACTATCATCATATTGATACTCTGATTGTTTCCATAGCTCTGTGCATTCTCAGATGGTATTTCATTGCTTTTATTAACTCAGCTCATAAAGCTGTTGTGACAGAGTATCATATTCAGAGTATCTATGCCATGCTGATTTACAACTGGATGAGAGAGATGCTGTAACACAAATATATTACAAGGACAAAAAGTTTATGTTGTTTTCTTTAAGACACGTGGCATATTATACTTGAGTTCCTGAGGTCAGAGAGTTCATCAGAGAGTTCATCACTTCTACTTGTCATGGATTTAAATCATGGGACTAGGAATTGTCCCAAGTTAGCAAACAATTCTCAGATGAAACCAGGAATATGATTTGGAAATTCTTGCTTTCTTCTTCCCGACTTGTATCTCTCCTACACCATCCTTCCTAGTTACCAGGAACTGAGACACAATGTAAAAATTCTTCACTTTTTTCAGAATCCCCAAGGTCATGCAGAGCAAACACAGCTTTGCCATTAACCATGGTTCCTCCAGACATTACTGGCTGTCTACAAGAGTAACCATTACTGACACTAAGAGCATAACCAGTTGTCATTGTAATGCTGCAGCCTGATTAGAGGGTTTTCAGCTCAGAATTTACTGAACTTGTACTGACAATGCAGATAACACTCTCAATGCTATCATAACATGAATCTGTTTATAACCAAATGGATGCTTCTGCTACCCAGAACCAAAATGTCACACTAAACATACAGGCAATGTTCTGCAACAGAAGCCATGCACAACAGACACTGTTCACTGTCTCAGCAAGGAAATTTAGGGCCAACTCAGCAGTTTTGAACTGAAACTGCAATCGACTACATAGCAAGGAAGCTTTTCTTAACTCCTCAGGATATGATTGCTTTTAATCAATGGCCAAAGCTGTATGTGCAAGTTTAAACACCCTTGTTTCAACACTTCTGCCCCTAAATCACATGCTCAAAAAGCAGGAGAGACAAGATCTGGGAGTGCTCACCAGTCAGGAAAGTGATGCTGCCTCAGGATTCTTCCTAAAGTGTTTTTTTTACCATTCTCACTCACAAACCAATTGAATTTCTTACTGAGGTGATTTCATGAGGTGTTTAAATTCCACTGTTTCATGACATTACAAGTGCCAGAGGTCACCAGCATCCCACACGTTTCAAGTTACTCAACTGTGCTGGGACCGGTATTTTTTCTGTCAGATTTTCCATTAACTGATTAGAGTTAATCATATAATCTATTATGATATAATCTATTACAAAAGGTTACTCTATTATGCTATTATAATAGATTATGTGCTTACTTAGATTATATAAAAACTGCATAATCATATAGTTATTTTGTAGGAAAGTAACCATCAAAGCCTTCAACAATGAAGTCTAACTATTTTTTTTTCTGCTGTCTCCATCACAGGTATTGTCAGTTATTAAAACTTAATGCCTTTTGGAATCTGTAACCAGTACTGGAGTTTAGGTTTATAAACTGTTCTCCTCATACCAAAATAAGTAATTAGTTTAATTAAAAAACTCTAATCAGAAGCCTTCTAAAACAAGTTTGTTTTGTAGTCATTCAACTTTCTAAAATTTGCTGTGAATAGCTTGGAGCCTGCACTGAAGGAGAGGCTGCCCATTACCATTGGGGTCTTCAGTGTGTTAGTTCAATCTCTAAGCATGACATGAACCCCTTAAAAACCCAGAGTCTCAACAGTTTTCTGCTGCTTGGGACCTCTTGCTTTAGTACTGATATGGGATGATTAAAATATAGTTCCTAAAGTAAATTTTGTTCTGGAGAAATAATAGTGAGAATCACTTCAACAACAACAACCCCAAACAAAAATAAACAGGAAAATAACCAAACCCCACCTTTCTAATTTCCCTGGAAAAAACTCCAAGCACCCATCCATTTCCCCGCCTTAGATCCACCACACCATCCCCACCAGTTCTTTGGCTGCTTTGTCTAAAAATCAGGAAAACAAAAACCCTATCATAAAGGACCTTTTTCTTCCAACATAAAGCACTACATTCTACAAAATAATATGGGCAAAATTACACGTTAAGCTAAAGAGAAAACACTGCAACCCTGAGGCAGCTAATCTTAGCAACTGGGCGGGCCTGGGCCACAGAACACACGCTGGCCCTCACCAGCTGCAAGGCTGGAAATGACTGCTCTGCCATTGTGCACTGCCTCCATGGGAGGAAACCACTGCAGCTCTTCTCAGGGTTCAGTATTCTGCTCACTGTGGGCTGGGGACAAAGGGACTGGGTCAGGCAGCATGGCCCCAAAGTGTCAAAAATAAAACTGGATTATTTTCAAGTACTCTAATTTATTATCAATGCTTTAAAAAACCCAAACAATCCCAACTATTTTATATTTGCGTGTTGGATTCAATAATAGTTTTTCTTCCACAGTTTATAAGGGCACTTTTGGGGAAGGCCATTTGAGAAACCGCAGAGGAATTCTGGAGCTGGCTGGAGCCATCAGATGCACCACAGGGCGCTCTCCCTTTGCCTACATGCGCTACGGATGCTACTGCGGCCTGGGAGGAAAAGGATGGCCCAAGGACAGAGTAGACTGGTGAGAGCAACTGTTCAGCTGAATAATTAAGTGCTGAATGCAGATGACAAGCAAAAGGACTAAAATATAAATTAGGCCTATTTGAGAGAGGGAACTGAGTTTAAATACAGCTCAGATTGCTAAGAAACTCTGAGGCATTCAAATTGTGTTGATATAGATCTATACAATCTTCCCTTTAATTCAAATTCTCATTGCATTAGTACAGGATTCACAGTATAACTGTCTTTGCTGTTGCATTTCAGCAAAGAGCTAAATAACTAAAGTTTTGTGGGAGAAGCTTTAAAGTTCAAACATTGAAGCTATCTAAAGTAAAAATTAAAAAACAAAGGCAGTAAAAATCTTTTGATTTTACTATCTTCCATGTTATTAGTATTCAAAATAATATATAAGAATTATTCAACGTGCTGAAAAAGAATTCTAAAACCCAAACCTTTCCATTTAGTACTAAATCACAGCATACTGACTATCATCATTGTAATTTATAATTGAACATTAACTGACAAGAAGATGATTTGGGGTTTTGTTTTCGTTTGGTTTTGTTGTTGCATGGTTTGGGGTTTTTAAAAATTTCTATGCATGAAAAGGAGTTACTGAGCTGTGTTGTTCAACTGTTATGTACCACAAGATCTTTACACAATGATTTGTGGGGAATGACCAAGTAATTACTTAATAAGCACAGGAAAAACAGTAATTGCAAAGTGAGAGCTCACAGCGTTAACTTTTCCTGTTGCAGACAAGTTTCTCAGGCAACCTAAACACCATCTACCTACTGTAATCTGATGGTTTTCGTGTGCCAGGAGGAAACTGAATGAATGAATGAATGAATGAATGAATGAATGAATGAATGAATGAATGAATGAATGAATGAATACTTTGTGGATACACCTGGTTCTTCCAGCAAGTCAAAAAGAAAGGATGTAATTAGTTTGCAGCAAAAACTTACAAGCTGCATAATTTCAGGTCCTTGTTGCCACCTCTCCTTGCTTTTCTGGGCTTGCAGTGACTCCACACCAGAGACACCACACCAGTATATTTTAATGCCTTTTTTAAGCATTAAAATGCCATTAATTCTTACCTGTACTGTTCAGTTTCACAATGTCATAGGAAGCTTAAAAATTCTTTGTGCCAATTATGACAAGAACAATTTTGAAACCATAATTTTGAGCAACTTTCCAAATTTTCTGATGATAATAAGCTTCATTTTGTGGAAGGGGCTAGGAGAAAAGCATACACACATATAACTGAGAATGCTCTGAAGATTCAAGTAGCTCAATGTATATCAAACATTTTTCTCCTCACTTATTACATGAAAAAGTAGTAAATTTTTCCAAGTGATCTATTAAGCCGTTACCCTGGTTTGGTTCCTGAGCAGGTAATGTTTGTACACTCACTGTTTTATTGTTCCACAGCTGTAGTAACCCACTGATAGAGTCCACCCAGAGTGTGTGACCATAAACCACCATCTCTGTTCCTCTCAGGTGCTGCTTTCACCACGACTGCTGCTATGGGAGGGCAGAACAAGCAGGCTGTCAGCCAAAGACTGAAAGTTACCACTGGGAATGCAAAGACAATTCTGCTGTGTGTGGTGAGTGAGCACTTGGGGAGTTTTTTGGTGCTGGGTTATTAGTTTGGTTTGGTTGTTTCCTAATTCTACTAATTATCTCATTAGAAAGGTATTTTCTTCATTAACTGTAAGATTCTTAGTTTACCATCCTTCCTTTTGTGACTTTTTTTGCCACTGTGCCTCCAGAAAGCACAGCTAAACCAATCAATTGAATGTAGTTCCCTTTTCTTAATCCTCCCTCTGACTGACACAAGCAAACAAAACTGAGCTAGAAGCATCTATTACCTTTTCAGAAAACACAACCATAACCATCTTTTTACATCCAGCATTAACATTTGCTGAGGAACCCATGCTATGCTACTCCCTGCAAGTCTCCACCTGGAGAGCAAGTACCAACAGGAGACAAGAAAATTGGAACAGTTTAAAAAGGAGGTTTTCCCTACTTAGCAGAAAATATTTCCCACTATTTGTAAGTTTATAAGGGACATGTTTTTGGCATATTTATCCCTGATCAGTTGCACTGATAGCTGCAATTCATGAATGAACTCATAATTACAGGTTACAGTTTCAAACAATGAGGTAATAAAATATTTGATGAGTTTATTTCTGGAAGTTAAATTAACAAATATTAATTTGAAAATATTTACATAACACAAGTGTACAAACTGCAACAGATTGCTGACCACATCCTGATAAATTTTGTTTGACTGCTATAAAATATCCTTGCCATGCTGAGGTAAGGGAAGGACAAAGAGATCACAAAGAAAGAAAAACCCCAAAAAATGGCTAACAGGAAAATGCAGCTTTTCTTTTACATTATTTGTTCACAACTTACAAAGTTTTTGCAAATGCTTTCTAATATACTGACTCATTGAAACTGTAGCTTAGCACAAGCCCCCAGTATTTACAAGGTTTTTTTTTCTTCTTGTTGTCACGTTTTTATTGGTTTTTTGTTTGTGTGTTGTTTGGGATTTTGCTTGCTTGTTTTGTTTTTAAAATCAGGTACTTGGTCAGTCAATTTGCATATAATTTTATACTTCAACTTAGAATGCAAATGAGCTTGAAAATTGATTATTATTTGTACTACAGAAATGCAAAAACCCTTACATAAACTTGTTTAAAACAAGTCTGAGTTTCTGACTACCATGCTTTAAACACAACAGTTACAGAGAACACAAAAGCCTCTCATTTCATACTCAATTTAGAATTTGCCTGACCTGAAAACAAATGAAAGTTTGGACATTACTTCCTTTCCTCCTTCATATTCAATCTTTACTTTGCCCAAGTAAAAAATTCATTCAGAATCTCTACTTGCTTATATCTTCCCCTGCTCCAGATGGACAAAACATCTTCTCTCTCACACTAATTAATCACATTACAGTCCACCCTTATTTGGGTGTAAAGATTTTGCTCCTGACAATATTCAAAATACTGGCCAAGATAGCAGGCGTGGTGTCAGGAAAACAAGTCCCTGGCATAGCATGGAGAAGATAAAGTCTGGAGCAATACCAGGAGAAGAACAGAAGAAGCAATAGTTCTCAGTTACCATGTTTTCATTTTTTATCCTATCATGTTGTTCATGCTACCTGTGCTATTGAGCAGCTCTTAGGGCAGCTAGCTGCAGCATAAGCACATATACATTAAGAACACTTCCATTTCATGGCAGAATTTGAATTTTCATTCACAAAACTGAACACTTGTTCTGCTCCTGGACAAATCTCAAGCAGTGATTTAGCTAAGTTTTTAAAATGGTAAACACTCAGACAAAATGTAATCAAGGATTCTTCAGTTTACAGAGAGAAAAAAACCACACACTTCTGGGTTGGCACACTGAAACCAAAATACGTGGCTGTAGAAGAAAATGTTCATGCCAAGAAGAAACACTCATGCCAAGAAATCTGTTAAGTTACAACACTACAATTATAAAACAAACATGACAAGACATGGATTTATCACACAAACACACTTTACTGCACGTCTTAATAAAAAAACGTGGGCAGTTTAGGCTGGACATGGAACACCCTCACATGCCATGTATACATCCCATATACCATTTTTAATGCTATATCCTATAGTAGATTATAAAGGGTATGTGAATGAAATTAAGTTTCACTAGAGCAAGAAGGGAGGCAGGGAGGGTCCCATGTCACTTTCTAAACAGAGATCAGTTATCAGAGTCCCTTTATTAAAAAACTGGAAGAGTATTTAAGTCTTTATCTGGCTGTTGCATTTTCACCTGCCAAGATCAGTGGTTACTGACTGATCCACAGGTTCTCAGTCTTACCAAAGCTCAGTACAGTTCCTATTGCACTTGAAATGTAAGGCATTTGTACTGCAAATAGGGAATGGGAGGGAGCAATTCTTGGTAAAAATTCACTGGGGATTTTTAATTTCTTCAGACTAATATCAAACTTACTGTGTTTTCTTTCAGACTCACTAGAAGATACATGTCAAAAAATGGCATGTGAATGTGACCGTGAAGCTGCCAAATGTTTTTCTAAAGCTCCCTACCATAGAAAATACCTTTTGTGGCCAGACTTTATGTGTGGTGAGATTCAGCCTTTGTGCAGGTATTAGATACATGACTCTTGTATATATTTAAATCTAAAATGACTTTTTTTGGCCACAGTAATGACAAGAAATTATTTTTCCCCTTTCTTGATACTCCTTCATTCCCCCTCAGCCTCTCCACCTCAAAACAGCCAAACATTTTTCCTGTTATTTACTTTCTCCCATGCATTTATTATTGACTAAACAGAAGTCTGAATTTATCTGCTTAAGAAGTAACTGACAATGTTAATTTTTGTTTATATTCAGATTCACAGATTTTTCAGACTGATCATATCATTTGCTGTGAACTTTTTACCCCCTTCTCTACTGGCTAGAAGATACAAATCAACCTTCTCCACCAACAAATCTTAGCATTTGTTAACTTTGAACTGGCTGGGAAAAGTTCGTGAAGTGACAGTGGCAGCACAAAGAACCCTCTCATCTACATTAAACACCTACTACAAAGCCTAATTTAAGTGCTGAATTTCATTCACCTGGAGTAATGCTACCTGCATTGACGAATCACATAATCAGGTTTTTTCTAGCATTCACTTTTTAAGTAGAGTTTTCTAAACAGCTGTTTATTTGATAAGGCTCAAACTCCTTACTCTATGTACACCCTGAATTCCCTGCAAGCACAGGGAGGAATTCTACTCTTAGAACTTCAATCACACTTAAAAATGCAAATGCAAACCATCACCAAAACAAAACATGAAAAAAATGTAGAAGGTGTTGGGACCAACTGGCTTTCCCACAAGTGCATGATCCTGCACAGCAACAGTTTATGAAGCTCAGAAGTGTATACACCTCATCAGGTTGTAAAGGTAGGGTCATTTCACAGATATTTGGGAAGAGAAATCAATACCCTGCACTGATGAATAATACACTTTTTTGTATCTGCTGATTTTAACACTTATAGACCCAGAAGTGTTTTATGTCTGCGTTCACCCATCTCAACTTATTCAGAGGTGCAGGGCTAAAGAACAGGTTTGCACAAGTCAAAGCTAATGACATGTACTTCAATATTAAAAAAAAAAAATCAAAACCCAAACAATATCAAAAAATATCAAACCCCAAATTCTCTGTAGGAATAGTGAAGATTTCAAGAGAGATCTTTAATTGTGAAAAATATTCAGAGGCAAATTTAGATCACATTACTGACACAAATGAAATAAACAAAACAACAAACCAATGCAGACTGCAAGGGGACAAAGTTCTTGAAAAAAATCTTTTGATTACCTTTTGATTCAGTCAAAGGAACATACATTAACAAATGTCAATCCTGCTTACACAAATAACTTTCCAGTCAATATTTGCTGACATAGATACACACATTATATTGCCATAAGTAATTACAGTGTCAGGTCACATTTCCAAAATAATCCTTTTTAAGAGATATTTAAGAATTTAAGAATTAGCAACAGAATTCAAGAAGAGAGAATGAAAGGAGTTATTGATGAAGTCTAACTGAGCTGAATAAAAAATTTCCATGGTAATTATCACATTTTCCAAGACACAAGAAAATTCAAGTAGTCTTTGCCTTCAGCTGCAGGAATTTTGGAGCAAACTCTACTGTGAGATTGTGTATAGGGCAGTCACAATGCTACATGTAAAAGAAGACTGAAATAAATGAAGTTCTTTCAACATCAAGCCTATCCAGGAAAGGCATTCCTTTGGCAAACTGAAGTTGAGGAACACATTGCTGGTATGAAATGTTAAGTTTAAAAAGAAAAAGAAAGAAATCACTGTAGCAGTGCAGAAGACACTCACTTTAAGGCAGGCTTGAAAAAAAACCAGAATGCTCAGGACAGAATGACGAAATTTATCTGATACAAATAGGGAGAGATGACTGTATGAGTTTTACATGGCTATACAGGAATGTGCTTTTTTTTTTCCAATGGAAAATTCCTTTTTCCTTCATCCTTCAATTTGGAATCAGCTGGTTTAAGAGTAACTTATCTTAAAGCTTTTTTGTATGTTTAAATTAACATAATCCACCATTTTCACTGCCACATCCATAACAAAGAAAAGTGAAGTTTATTTAAAATGTCCATTTTTAGAAGCTAAACAGCTCAAGAGTTCCAATGCCAATCACTGCACTTGTGTCTCCAGACGCCTTATCTCTGTAACTACAAGATCAATGTTTATAACTGGGTTAAAATACAAGGCCCAGTAAAACAAACAATTGCAGACAAACTGAGGAATAAAAGGCCAAAAAATGGCAACAAAAAGTCCCTGGGTTGAGACTTTCCAGAAATGTCTCCACATTCTGTGAGGAATAGTCCTGTGAAAAAGGAAAGGGAAAGGCTTAGAGGAACTTCCTGGTTTGTTCTTACCCAGCTCTAAGAAATCCTAATAGGTGCTACAGCTTTGCACTACTTAGCCCTTACTTGGGTACCTGTAAAAACACCATTTTTCACTCCACCATAAACTCTCCTAAAAGCCAGCAGTAGCAGATTTAAGAGGAAGCACTGTGCCAGGGCACTCAGCCCCCGCAGGCTGCAGTGCCACAGCTCAGCCCTGCCCCAGGCCGTGCCCTGCTCCCTGTGCTGCTCTGGCACCTTCTGCCCTCTGTCGGCTGGCAAAGAGAAACCAGCACACACCAAAAGCAGAATTTCTCCCGTACCATTTCCAAAGATCACACCAACTATGAATGTTAACATGCTTGCATTAAGGCTGAGGTAGTAACAGAAAACAGAAATTCCGACATATTATCAGAACTAGTATCAGTATAACTGAACTTATTCATGATTCTGAGGACTCATCCCAAAATAACTACACTGTATCATGGCTACATTCTGATGTATTTAGTTCTCAGCTGACAGCTAATACCAGGCACCATAAGAGGCAGTTCTCAAGGTAAGGTTTAATATCTCCCAGTGGTTAAGAACATGCTTGTTGCCATCTCCACATTTGCTACATCTGATAAGTAAAACCACCTCTAAGAAACCCTTGGAAGCATGCACAGAAATAAAGGTATTCAAGAGCAAGCAGTAGCATATGTGGGAATGCAGATTCACATGTTATTAACCTCAGGGTTTGGGTTAGACACTCATTTCAGTCAGCAACTGTGAAATTGTAAGGCTGTTACTTTCTAGGCCTAGGTACTTCCTACCCTCTTTCACAAGCTTTGTAAGACTTACTTCAGTTCTCTTCTTGACCACAGCCTCCAAAAGGAGAATAATTCCAGAACAGACAGCAACATGGCATTTACAATTATAAATCTTGATGTCCAGTAATGCACATCTAGCCAATCCCAAGCAAATTCAGCTATCAGCTGGTATGGCAAAAATAAATACTTTACAGTGAATTCTCTCCATTGCCTCCAAGAAGGATCTTCAAGGTCCTGTAAATTAGGATAAAAAGACTGTTAATCAATTTTCTATTAAACTTATTTAATACTGGCTTATTTCCACTAGTCTTTTGTTGAAAAGCTGGGGGTTTTATACACTGAAAGCAGTAATTTATCTTTATTATACTTGCTAGTAGGTAATACTGTAATGCAGTAATTTCCATTAGATTAGAAATCACTTTCTATAGTTATATGAACTTCAGAAGAATCAGTTTCACACATTTAAAGTCTTAAAAGCCCAAAATCAATCCTATTAAAGGTAATGGTTGCAACATTGGTGATTGCATACAATAAAATCAAAGAACCACTTACTCTGTAGGTCTGTTGTTTTTAAAGCCATAGTGTAAAGAGATGAAATGATGAATAATTACATCATGTGTTTTTATGCTGCTAGTCTTAAAATGCTTATAACTAAAGCAAGTAGCACATTTAATGTTTTGAATACTTACAAGTAGTTTTGTGACAGTATCTTCATACTTGTCTTCTTGCATAGGACAAATTGTGTGGATGAAAGGTAGGAAAGCTTCTGCATAATCAAACAAATATAGATATAACATACTGAGTCTTGGAGAATTCTTCAGTGCATACAGAAGAAAGAGTGATTTTCCTGGATTTACGGCCTAAAACGTATCAAATTATTAAGTTTCAATCAGTAAAAAAATAAAATGAACAGGACATGCCACTTCTTAGATTTTGTAACAATCATTTTTAAAAGGGTTGTTTTTCAAATACAACAGGTCATTAAACTGAGCAGATTTTACACAGGAAATTCCACTACTTTAACACTCCTCCCAGTTTTAAGAGAATCTTGTTTTAAAGGTATTACTTTAAAAATAATTAATATATATGACATGACACACTTTATATAAAATTTACCTTATATTCCCAAAGGTTCTGTGGTGGTTTAACACCTAAAGTCTTCACACATTCCAGTTCTGCCATAATAGCTCTCCTGTGGTTACTGTTCTCTACACTGTAAGGCTCTTTGGTGAAATCCTCTTCAGTCAGTGTTAGGAGGAGTCTACGAAAGCAGAAGAATTAAGGTGAACAGTGCCTACTCACCAAAAAGGATGACTAACAAATACACAACTCCACACTGAAAAATAAGCTACTGATACAAGGTAGCACCTTGTGGGTTAAAGAATCATAGAATACTTTGGGTTGGCAAACTTTGGGACTTTAAAAGATCATCATCACACTGCATATCAAGTGTTCTACACCAACTGCATCTCAGAGCCTGGGTTTTAAATTTCCTTCTTTTCCAGTTTCCTCTTGCCTGCTTTCAGTGTGGCTCTTGGGTGGAATACATATGCATATAGCACATGCATATTTCCACAAGAAAGGAAAAGTGTAAGGGTGGATAATACATCAGTAGAATTTTACTCTTGGTATCATTTCAGTCTGCATTGTCAGCATTTTAAAAAGTTCTTAGAAAATTTTCAAGTAGCTTACCCTCTACTACTAAAAGTTTTCAACAGCAATTGTTAAAACTTCTTCTGAAATTTATTCTGACACATCAACAGAATATTCCCACAATCTAGGTAACACAGTACAGTCATTTCACAATAAGCCACCCCAATGAACCTGTCAGTAGTCCAATCACATAATAGCTGTGCTTGACCACAAGGCCTCTCACCTTCCATTGACTTTCTCCAGTAAAAATCTTTCTTTGTAATGTGAAGCCCACGGGCCCAGCTGCTCCAGCCAGAGTATCACTTCCTCAGCAGTCCACTTAGCAACAGGCTTGTGGACAAGATGATCATCTTCAAATTCTCTGCTACTCCAGTGATAGCCAAGTAGAACTACCTACAGGCAGATTACAAAGATAAAGAAAGATCCTTTACTTACAAAGCAAATACATGAATTATATAAATAAACACACAACAAGAGCCTTGACACATAGAATCTTCCATTTCAAGGAGACTAGAACATTCAGGTTTTAAGAAAGTATTTTGAAGTTTTACCCATTAACTTCCATTTGCTGTACACTGCAGTTGTAGTTCCTGACAGACAGCTCTGAAGGCCACTTTACTGACTCAGCCCAACCAGGGAAAACCAACCAGGTGAAACTTACTGCTACACAAGTTAAAGCTGTCAGAACACCTGAGAAGAACCCTCCTCGAGGGTTAATTCTTCCTGTGTTTGGAACTGTAGGCATCTGGCCGTTCCCATGCTTTTGGAAAGTTGCCAAGCTGCGAGCTACATCACTGTTCTGTTGAATATCTTCTTTTCTTTGTTCAATGGCATCAGAGAATAGCTTTTCAATAACATCCCTAATAGGAAAAATATTTGTCATTATACTGTAACCACTGAGGCTTAGTATTCAGAAAAGGGAGTAATTTTTGGATTTTTGTTTTCCAACCTCTTACTAAAGACAATCATCTTTAAAAGCAAGAAAAAATTAGTTATTAAAGCTTAGTAAATTTAGAATTTTATCCATCACTGCAAAACAATATTTTCCTTAGTTTCTAAAGCTAAAATACCACATAACTCCCAAGTCATTTCTTATATAAAATTAGAATTCTGTGTGCCACTGTTATTGTGTGCCAGCCTCAATTATTAAAAAATGCTAAACAAAAGACAACATAAATCCTACCATAAATCAATCCTACCATCCATTTATGTAATGTTATTAACCCCAGATAAAGTATTATTAACAAAACAACTTGTGGGTAATTCAAGACAGCAAGTACATTTTTTTAGCTTTGTTCTGCAATATGATCACACTTCTTCCAATAAATAGTTCCTATTACAGAAATTACTACACAATTATCCAAGACCAATCTCACTTAGAATTATTAGAAAACAACCAGCGATATTGAAAGACTGAGGATCCTGCCTCTCCATCTCCCACAAAATGTAGAAGGGGGGAAAGCCCTCCCTCAAAACAAAACCAACCAACCCATCCCTTAATTCCATGTGCTTGAACAGTTCATGACAAGTGCACAAGCTGAAAGTCTTTGGGATTTAAATTTCTTTGTGACAGTTCAGATTACCAATTATCTAAGAATATCTGCAGCAAACTCAAGAAACCAGACAGCAAATTTCTGTGGTTTCATTTATGTAAAAAAGACATTCACAAAATAGTTCACTCACCTGAGGAGGATGTTGACTTTGGGGAATCCTTCCCATTTTTCTCTGCACTCAGGACATTCATTCTTCTTGGACGATACCCACCACAAGGCCAAGCAATGCCTGCAGAAGCTGTGCCCACAGTTCAGGGTGGTGGGATTGATCAGAATGTCGTAGCAGCAGTGGCAGAGGAACTCACTGACTGATATCTGCCGGCCCAGGCCAGGAGCAGCACACGGTTCAACTTTTGCCCTCTCTGTTTCCCCTTGTAAAGTCTCACCTTCTTCCATTTTCCTTTAAACCTTCCACAAACAGAAAGCTCTCTCAGATCTTCAAACCAGATAAGGCACTACTTCTGAAAAGCAACATGAAAACAGCTATTACAGAAGTTTAGAATTGTAAGCAATGTGATTTATCATTGCACTGCTTTTGACACCCGGATGTTTTTAAATTTTTTCAAGTAACTCAGCCCTCCCCAAAATGAAACATGATCTACTTCTTCAACAATATATTCATTGCCAACTACAATCAAAACCAGATTCTAGATGTAAACAGCTGGGCTCAATCTCCCTATGCTTTCTTCTCCCATGTTATAAAATACATGAAAGTGAAACAAAATAATTCACTATGATTCACATGACTTTTGACAATAGCTTTAATCAAGGTTTTAGTAAAAGAAATCAGTCAAAGAAAATATAATTAAAAAGTATCATCAGAGGATACAAAAATAAAATACCAGTATAATGTCATGATCTAATTTAATTCATCCCTCTTCTTTCCAAGCACATTGAATAAAACATTATTAACAGAGGTCAATGCTGGATATTGCTGGGCAATGTTAAGAAATATAATAAAAGTTTGATCCAGCAAGTCATATGCTTCAGAATCATAAGGGACTGATCTGCACACCTTTTCAGCAAAGGTCTAAACTCCACATAAACGTTACTTGTAGTTACTTTGTCAGCATTACAGAAAATGCATAGATAAGAGTTTAAGATGGTTCCAAGTTTACAAAAAATATATTTGCTTGATGTTCCTACTCCATTCTCTTAGACAGCAGTATACAGATTCTTAAGAAAAACACTGATCCACGTCATTAACTCATCACTCATGATATGTTAGAAGATATCAAGAACTAGACAATTTTCTCCTCAGACGCTACCAAACCAAAATATGATTGCACTCTCCACCTTGTGGCTCCGGCTTACTACTAACTTACCAACTTGCCATCCAGATCAAGCACGTAGAAGCAAGCACGCAAGCAGGTAAAGAACAGAAATTACGAAAAAAAGCACAAGTCCAAAAACAGAAACCGATAGTGAAATCAGAATCCTTAGACTTCTAAACCTGCATTTCCAGGCACATCACAGGCTGTTGGCTTTCTAAAACAGCACTTGTAAGAAGAGAAATAAAGACAAGATTTTGCACCTAAACACATTCTTCTAGTTTTCCTGAAAGACAGAGGCAAGAGGATTTCTGTGGAAAATACAGGAAAACCATTTCACCGCTCAGTCTGCGCCAAGTTAGAGCCAGCAGCAGAACGATTCCTAGCTCCTGTCTGCTGCCAGCTCCAGCTTCCCGCACTCCGCGCTGCTCCCCAGGCACGGCACAGCCGCTCCGGGCCCGGCGGCACCGCGGCCCCGCACGGCCCGGCCCCGGGCCCGCCCCGCCGCTTCCGCCCCGCCAGCAGCGCGGCTCCTCCCCCGCCGCTTTATTTACAGCGTGTCAGGGCACCGGACACGAGCGCTGCCGCACTGCCGGTCCTGGGAATACACACACTTGTATATTCATTTACAGCGTGTCAGGGCACCGGACACGAGCGCTGCCGCACTGCCGGTCCTGGCAATACACACACATATTTGTGGGAACTGAGCTACACTACGCACCCAGGCAGCCTTCCTTCGCAGAAACTGTTCAAGGTTGATTTTACAGCAGAGATTCCAGGGGTAATCTTAGAAGTAAATGAGACTTTCAGGTGCTAGTTTGCAGTCCTAAAGCATCGTTCTTACAGATACTATTCTTACCGCATAAGAGTCTATCTCTCCACACATGCACAATTTACTTCTATCAGTCTCTGTTCCCTCACTGAAATTCGTTTCGACTAGTCCAAAAAAATCTGATTCACTCCTTACAACGCCATGGCAGGAGGTTGTAGCCAGGTGGGGATGGGCCTCTTCTCCCAGGGAACAGTGCCAGGACTCAGCTTTACTCTGCACCAGGGCAAGTGCAGGTTGGGCATTAGGAAAGGGCGATCAGACATTGGAAAGGGCTGCACAGGGAGGTGCTGGAATCACCGTCCCTGGAGGCGTTTAAGGACTGGACATAGCACTGAGTGCCACGGTCTAAATGACACCGTGGTGCTTGGTCACGGGTGGGACTCAATGATCCCAGAGGTTTTTTCCAACCTAATTGATTCTGTGAATTTTTAAAGTGTACCTTTGAGATGTATTTTTTTTCAACTGTTCGACACAGTGACATTTTCTTTTAGGATTTTGTTTCAGTTTGATACAAACTACAAGTCCAGTTCAAATCACATTTCAGTTAATTATTCCAGCCTATTTCAAGGAAGAAAATAGTCTCTCACTGTTTTCTCATATTATTCAATTTTTTCCAGAGAAACAATGAGTAGACCTTTAAAGTACTCTAGCATGAAAAAATTCAACCTCTTCCAGATCTGAGGAAGTGCATCTAGATCTACCTTGGTATGCAAGGTGAAAATGCAGCCCAGAATACTTGTTCTAGAATATAGTTTTTTGCTACATTTTGGTGTCTTTTCACTTAGTTTCACATTCAACGTTCAGTAAAGTACAAGAACATAGAAGTGTTTGATAGTCTGTGCAGCAGACTTGAATGATGTGAAAACATGGCCTTTCTGTTCTAGTTTATAAAGCTTTTGACATACAAAAAGCCATAGAATCTTGAACTAACTGCTTGTATTGCCCTCTCCCACTTTTTAGGTGCTCCTTCTGCTTATGTAATACATACATGTTGAAGTAAAAAATGTCTAATCTGTAAAACATAGTGCTTCAATTCCTGTTGAAGCACTTAATTACAGTGCCTTACTGTTTGACTTGCAGTTTATTTTGTGGGTGAGGGAAGCAAAGAGTTCCCAGATTTGTCAGCTACTCGTGGGACAATGTCAGGCTTCTAAAACAACCAACAACCACTTTCAAGTGCCATGAGCACTTTAATTAGAAAGTGCAGAAATGCATCGTAAAAAACTGAGGAGTAACACGACAATTTTAGGCTTCAGCCAATTTACTGCAAAATAAAAACATCTCTGCCATGTTAACTAATATCTTACTGGGAGCCATTTAATCATACTCAATGATTTCCTGGGAATGTCTCTTGAATAAATTGCTTATACTGAAGAATCTTAAAAAGCTCTCTCCACTAAATCCTGCGTAATTATTTATCTTTTTCTGTATGCAGAAATTACCCGCCCCAATTAGTGGGAATGTTTCATTTGTTTTCATTCTGCTGGAATTCTGGAAAAGATGCTTTGTGAGCCGTGTGAGCTCCAGCCCTGCAGCACAAGCTGTGAGCTCCTGTGCCGCCCGTGCCCACAACTGCAGCCCTGTGCCCCTGCAGCACCTTCTCTCGGGGACAGCCCTGCCTGGCTCCGCGCTGCTGCGGGCGCATCCCGCTGCGCTCTCCCGCCGCCAGCCGTCACAGCGCCGCTCGGAACAGGAACAGGCTCCTTCTGCAGCACGGCAAGGCCTCCAGGTCCCCCGGAATTATCATCATTCAGGCATCGTCGCTAGCAGTTCTCCACCATCCTCCTGGTGTCTCCTAGGCAGAGTCCCATGCCTTCTTCCTTGCTGGCGCTAGTTCCGTATTTCTGGCTTTCAGGGCAAGGCCCACATCCATGACATTTCACCACACCCCACAGAACGGCGGCTGGCCTAAGACTTCCTTCCCCCGGCAGCCCTGCTGCAGCCCCTGCGGCCCGCTCAGAGCGCACGGCAGGCTGCTGCAGGCGCTGTTCGAAGCTGGCGGTGCGGCCCGCTCAGAGCGCACGGCAGGCTGCGGCAGGCGCTGTTCGAAGCTGGCGGCGCCGGGCCCGCGGGCGGACGGACGGGGCGGTGCGGCCCTGCGGGCTCCGCCCCGGTAGGAAATGGCGGCGGCCCGGGCTCACGTGCGCGCTCACGTGCGGCGCGCGGGGCGGCCCCGGAAGCGCTCGGCGGCGGCGGGCGGTGCCTGGCCGAGCTCCGGCGGGCGGGGGCGCGGGATGGAGGTGATCAGGAGCAGTGAGTGACCAGCCGGCCCCGCGTCCCGAGCTCTGCGCCGCTGGCGCTAAGCTGTCCCGGTGTCCCGGCGTCCCCGCCCTGGGCTGGCCGCCCCTCCGGCCTCAGCCTGTCCTTCATGGCGAAGGGGTCCCCGTTGCCCCGCGCACCCATGAGGCGCAGCCCTGAGAGGGGAGCGCGGCCCCGAGGCTGAGGGGGCGGCGGGCAGGCCCTGCCCGCCCGAGGGGCGCCGGGCTGCCGGGGGATGCCGTTTGTAGTCTCAAGTGTGTTTTAACCCTTTACCCGTAGATTTTAAGGATAATCTGAAAAAAGTGTATGAAGCCATTGAAGAGTCGGACTTCCTGGCCATCGATGGAGAGTTTTCAGGTACAGTTGCACCTGTGTTGTCATTGTGAACTGTTGGCAGTCTCTGAGGGGGGTGGTTTGACCTCGGTGCCCGAGTTCGCTCCTGTGATGTATCTCAGGGTTGGCTTGAAAAAGGTAAAGCTGAGGCTACCACAGAGTGGTTAAACCACTTGTTACATGTGCGGTAGCAAGGCTTTGGTTAAAGATACATGTCATGTTTGTGCTGCTTGTGCTCCCACAATAATCTTTCAACGTGACAACTAATAGTTGTTGCATCTCAAGGTAAAAAAACTAGAAGGTGTTACATGTGCCATGAAAGCAATGGATTGGGATAAGTGAGGCAGGTCCTGCAAGTGTATGGACAGGGAAAAGCAACACTAAGAACCTGTGTGGTTGTGAAACCCTGAGGGTAGGTGCAGCAGGAGATGCTTTAGTAGGTATTTCACTTTAGGGATGTAGAGTTCGGTTCACCTATGAGACTAGGTTTTGTTACATGTGGTGTTTGTGGAAGCACAGTTGTTGCATATTGCTTAAGGTGACTAAGTCATTCAATAAGTCTCTGGGCAACACTCCCCGTTTTTAGTTTGGCTTTGATCCTGCATTGTGTTGTAAAGCCCATTTACATTAGGGTACTGGTAGGCCTTGGCCTGCTACTGACATGTTGAATAGGAGCCAGAATGACAGAGCTTTTGCAGAACAGTTTTACTTCTAGAACACCCTTTTTGGAATGAGTGGCTTATTGCAGTAGTATTTTTCTCAAATTAAATAATTGTAACACATGCTTTAAGTGAAAGGCTTTTTCTCAAATTGCCAGTTCTTTGCTGTGGTTAATTTTTAAAAGCTTACCCAAAGGAAAATATGTTCTACTTTTTCAGGGATCAGTGATGGGCCTTCAGTTAGTGCATTAACAAATGGCTTTGACACTCCAGAAGAAAGGTATCAGAAACTTAAAAAGGTAAAGTGTTTACATGGACTAAAATGAAAACTGAAGCTGCTTTTGGTGGAGCATCTTGTTTGTGTGACCAACAGGAGGAAAGAGAGATGGAACTTCCCTCAGTTCTTGTCTCTTTGTGGAATGGAAGCGCATACTAAAGTAATCTTGGGCCAACAGTAAGATGATTGAATGGGGATGAAAACTAGCAGAAAAACTCTGGTGTGTTTACTTTCAAATTACCAGTGAAACAAACATTGGTTAAGAAGATTCACTTTACTTAATTTTGAAATGGAGAGAAATCATATGTGGCTGCAACCTGGTAATCTTTAAATGTGTACATATTTTATTCTCATGCAAAATTTTCCTTTCCTTTACAGCATTCCATGGATTTTTTGCTCTTTCAGTTTGGCCTTTGCACTTTTAAATATGATGACACAGAAGAAAAGTACGTTATTCTCTTATTTCTTGTTTTCTTAACTGAGGATTTTCTAAGTAATCCTGATAAGCTGTATTGACATGTAACTCATCTTTTCTACAGGTATATAATGAAGTCATTTAATTTCTATATTTTTCCAAAACCCTTTAACAGAAGTTCACCAGATGTCAAGTTTGTCTGTCAGGTTAGTAGAAAAACAGTTTAATTTTATTTGGTTAAGGTATACCTGAAACAAACTTCAGCTTAAAAGGTAGAAGAATGTAAGTTTCTGGGTTGAGGGTTGTTTCTTATAAAATAAGTAAGCATCAGTTAAGACCAATCCCAAAAATGGGAGCGTTAAGGGACTTCAGTTTTTAATTCTTGTTATGCATTACATTGTGTGATTTCTGGAATTGGAGATAATGTTCCAAACTTGGCAAGATGATTCTATTTTTTTCCCCTCTTCTCATTGAACTTCCAGTTTGCTTGTTTTTTTAATCCTTTATTCTCATCTTGTTATCTTGCTTTCACTGCTTCCTAGACTTTTGCCAACATTTTTCTGGTCTCAGATTTGTTCTCCTGAACTACATTTTGCTTTCTTTAGTTTTCTCTCTCCACATAGTTTGTTCTTTCATCTTTATGCTTTACCATATTCATCATTCTTGTACCTTATGGAAGTTGAAAATCAGTAAGTAGCAGAGCCTAAACTCTCAGTGGCTTCTTTAGGGTCACAGACTTGGTTGTTCTTGGCTTTTGACTTCGTATAATTTCTTAACAAGTGTGAAAATAACTGAACTGATGCCACAGCTACTTTTGCCAATTGTAAAGGCTTTTTCTCTTGTTACAGAGTTCAAGTATAGATTTTTTAGCAAACCAAGGATTTGATTTTAATAAAGTTTTTCGCAACGGTGAGTTGTTTTGGTTTGTTTTCAATTTCTTTTAATGTCTGCAAAATTTGTGATGACACCTTTCACTGTTTTCTGCAAAAGAAAACAGGCTGCCATCTGTGGTACTGTCTTAACATCTAATGAAGTTCTTGAATTATTCTTATCTAGTCTGCTGTTGTGCTGATGGTAACTCACTTTCCAAGAATTCATTGCATAGTTTAGCAGATCAGAATTCCCACTGACATGAGAGCTTGGTTGGTTTTTTTTGTATGGAGGCAAAGGGTGTATAGAGAGTAACGAGGTGTGGAGCTGTGGATACATCAGCAGGAAAGCCTAGGAAGGGGATCCCAGTGCACTGTGGCTGCTGCAGGCTGTTACTGGTGAGGCACAGAGCAAGGAGAGCAGTGCTCAGTGCTTTGGTGCTGATGTGCAGCTCTGCAGTGCTGGGGCTCATGGCCTGTGCAGAGGAGGCTGGGGAGCAGTGGTACCAGCCAACCTGGCACATGCTGGGAGGCTGCACAGACACACATCTACAGCAGGGCACTGAAAGGGCCTGCAGGTGTAACAGGGGCAAAGGCTTGAACCCAATGCATCCCTAATTAGTCTCTAATTATGATTAGATTTTACTTTTTTTGTTAGGAATTCCGTATTTAAATCAGGAAGAAGAGAGACAGCTAAGGGAACAGTATGATGAGAAACGCTCTCAAGCCAACGGTGCAGGATCTCTGTCATACATTTCTCCTAATTCCACAAAGTGCCCTGTAACAATTCCTGAAGATCAGAAAAAATTTGTAGAGAAAGTAGTGTAAGTAACACTGTTTAATATCCGCTGATGTTGTTAAAACTAAAATGTGAACAGTAGTGATATTTTTGCATGTTGAAGCCATGTCTATTATTTCACTGTTTGTAAAATGCTGCTCTTTTTGTTCTGAAGCATTTTCTTGTCTTTTGGAGAGAGCTGTAAACTTCCAAAAAAATAAAATACTAGATACAGAAGCAAATAATCTGTTTCTTCCAGGGATCAGATAGAAGACTTATTAAAGAAGGAAGAAAGTGAAAGTTTGGAACTGGAGCCATGTACAGGGTCAGTTTCTGAAATTGCATTTCTTCTAAAAAATTTTTTTAGTTTGGTCATACAGAATTAGGGGAGTGACAGGGAAGAATATATTTACTTGGGTTAACTGTAGCAAAATCTACATTTGACTAACTTTTGGATGTTGAGACTACATAGTAATGTATATGGGTGTTGTAATTTATTTTGAGCTGTAACTTCTGCATGTAGTGGCAAAATATTTAAGTATAGTCAAGAAATGTCTTTTATGTGTGAGCTGCCTTTTTTACTGCTGAAGTGATGCATAAGCATTGGAAATGCATTTTATAAATAAACTTTTCCAATCTATTGAGCTATTGGTTGTTCACAGTTGGCAGTATGTGACTGGTTTTAGTAGGTTTCCTTCCCAAAATTCTATTTAGCTTTGGAAACTAGATATTTGGAAAGTATGATTGTTTAAATTTTTTTTTTAAAAATTAATTTAGGAATAGTAGAAAATGGTGAAGCTGGGGATAAGGTACCATCACTGTATCTTTATTGAATCATCATGACTACAGAATACTCTCTGATGAGAAGATCATGTGGGTAACTTTAAACATAGTGTAAATGCCTTTCCAGTTTGACAGCTGAACATCAGAACTCAGTAAATCTCTTCCTAGCCAGTAGTTCTGCTAGCAGTGACTCTTGCTTTAAAAATCTTTCTACAAATGAGCACTTAGAGTCAGCTTAAACTGGAAATCATTCCTAGGAGACACTCTGTAAAAGGATTATTAGTAACACGATTGTCTTTTGGTTTTAGATTTCAAAGGAAATTAATTTATCAGACCTTGAGCTGGAAGTAAGTTACTGGTAATACTGCCTTACTGTATACTTTTAGTACTTTTGATAAGAAATCTGGGTAAGATATATCTACTTAACCTTGACGTGGTTGATTTAGAATTTATTTTTCGCTTTAAAAGAAGACTTCTGTAATGTTCTGAAGATGAATTACATTAAACTTATTTGTGATGATTAATTTAGATATTAAAGCTTAGTATTTGTTTTATCCTATGTAAAATCTCTGAATAGAAGGGCACAGCCTAGAATTATGTAACAAATGCAGCATGCTAGGTTTTTAGTGAGCAGAAAGTGCATGTGCTTATACAGATTGTGGGCTTTACCTGAAAAAATAGTAGTTCTGTAATAGGTACTGGTATGGTTACAGTTTTCTGTTGGATGCCAAGCATAAGCCCTTCTGATAAATTAGTATATTGCCAAGGCTTTAGAGTAAGATTTTCACTGTTCTGACTGCAGTAGTAAGATGTGGAAAACATGCAAGTCTTTTTTTTTATATGTTTAGTTGATTCATTGTTGTGGCACTGAATCTGACTTTCTGATACTTACACTGGAAGCAGATAAAATAAAGCTTTTCTCTAGAAAATGGGATCTCAAGAAGTGAGCTCAAGAACTAACCTGAAAAAAAGCAGACGTGTTTTCAACAATTTTTCAGTGACATTTTTTTAACATGTCTTTAGCTTCCTGTGGCACGTAGTTTTATGTGTTTCTGATACTTATCCTTGCAGCTTGTCTGAGTGGATGGAAGAATGTGTTCTTGTGTTTTTTTAACATTCAGCAGTGTTGCTTTGCAAGAGTACAGCTGTGTACACTGTATGTGTGTACTGGAGAGAGAAAGCCAAGCTGTGAAGGTAGCATGGAGCTAATTAAAGCAGAAGAATGAAGTTATTGATTGCCCTTGTATTCTGACCTCTTCACAGGTCCTTTTCTCTTTTGAAATATTCTCTTGTGCATCAGTGTTTTGATGCATTCAAGATTTGTGGCATGAAGCAGTTCGTAAATGCAATGGAGGCTCAAAACTGTGTGAGGAGTGAGGGTGGAAAGGACACAACAGTCCTTTGGAGTGTGCTCTCCAGTAGCAATTTTAGGAGTAGCCAGAGGACAAGGAAACTTGCTGGTTCTGAAGTGGTTGCACAGTTGTGGTTAGTTTATTATGATGAGATTATAAGAGTAATTGCTACTGGTTAAGCAGGAAAAGGCAATACTCTTTTTTGCTATCAGCTGGATGCTCTATGGCTCTGTGTATGGTGTTATTTTGAAATTAAATGTGATTGTAGTGGTGTGATGACACTTGAGTTAATAATTCCTACTAAAATCTACTGGTAGCAGAAAGTTCAGGGTTGTTAATAAGTCCTCAAATAAGTGATGTATTAAAGAGAAGCTGTCTTGGGGTTAGAAGTAAATGAGAGCATTCTTGTTTTGAATTTCTTGAAAGCAAACATTCTAAATTGTGATGAAATATCTTGATGATGTTTACTTAATATCACAAAATTAGAAATTGCAGGTTCCACAACAATAGCATGGGAAATTGTGTAAGTGCCAGTTGCTGTTAGGTAATGTAAGGAGGCCAGTTAAACCAGCCTATTGCTTCAAAGTTTGCATTATTAAAATTAAAAAGAAACTTGTAATGGTTCTTTTACACCTAAGACTTATAGAAATAATGAAACATGAAATTACTAAATTACTGTTGTGGTTTCAATATGCTAAATGCCAAGTGAATAACTATTCATATTTACTTTTCATTTGTTTCTATGTAGATATCCAAAAGGTATCCACGTGGAAACTCTGGAGTCAGATAAGGTAACTAGGCCTGTTACTGCCTCTAACATTTGTTCCGTTGAAAGGAAATTATATTTCTCAGTTTCACCATCTCTCCTGATTTTTAGATCTAACTTGAGCTTTTTTTATGCAAATTCAAAGCATTTAAAATGAAATACAATGAACTAGTTTCTATCTGACCAACATATGGAGTGTGGGTGTGTATTTTTGTGGCTTAATATTACTTTTTAAAGGATACTAAAAGGTGTTTTGAAATACAGTGGATCTGATGTTCAGTTTTAGTGAAAAGCTGGTTGTGATCTCAGAGGAAAAACAGCAGCATCACGTGCTGTGTCCTCACTTCCCAGCATAGATCTCTGCTTCAAAAGGTATTTGAAACAAACTGTTTACAAGGAAATGCTGATAATCTTTTTTGAGAAGTAAAAAGAGGGTTTAGGAAAAATTATGTTTGGTGGATGAATAAAATACAGTTTTCTAAAATAGGCTTCTGGGAGTAGGTGATAATGTGGTGCCTACAATAGAAACAGCTGTGTTGCCAGGTAACTGCTGCTGAGGTATGACAGTTTTCTTTACAATGTAAATTTACAGAAAATTGCAGCAACCTTCAATCTGAATTTCTCAGAGTCATTCCTCAAACTCTACATTTTTTGTTTTAGAAGGAGAGATATATTGTTATTACTAAGGTAGATGAAGAGGAACGAAAAAGAAGAGAGCAGCAGAAACAAGCAAAAGAACAGGTAAATAAATTCAGTTCCATTAGTTTATGTGTGAGAGGAAGGATGAGAATCTCTGACTTCACTCAGCAATGCAAAAATACAGGATAGGGTTTGGTGTTGTTTCCCTTTGGTTTGCTGTGGTTGGCTGAATTTTTCTAAATTCTACCAGATAACTTAGACCTTGCAATAGATCAAGAAGAGTTGCAAGGCACTCTAAAATTTTTTTAAAAATCAGAATTTGTGGAATACTGAATGAGTATTCTGGAGTAATGACCACCTTCTTGTATGAATCTCCACACTCACAGAAGTTTGTCCCAGTAAGAGGAAACATCAGTTTCTTGCAGAAATTCTTGAGCAAGTTGTTACATGGTTTGGATTCACAGTCTCCCCTCTCTTACAAAGCTTGCTTGCTGAGTTAGTGTCCTGTACAAGGAATGGGTTATTTCTTGCTAGATCCACGCTGCACACTGGTGCTGTGGTAACAAGCTGACCAGGAGGTCACCTGGTGTGTTCAGACACTCTCACTGTTCACTAAACTTGATCCACGCTGCACACTGGTGCTGTGGTAACAAGCTGACCAGGAGGTCACACCTGGTGTGTTCAGACACCCTCACTGTTTACTAAACTCTGTATTTTGATTACTGAGTGATGTAAATTTCAGGAGGTCATAAGATTTGAATTGTGGGAGTTCCTGATCAAACTCTTGTAATTTGTGCTTTCATATATCAAGATGAAATCAGTTTGGGTGGAGCAAATAATACTTCTATGCAGAAAACTTTTTAAGAGGGAAAGAGAATCTAAAGAGACATTAACTAATATGAAATCTCTTGTTCTAGAAGGCAGGTCAGGAGCAATTTACTACTACAGTAGGGTTTTCTGAAGTGTTTTTAGTGGGGTATTACTTGCTCAAACTAGCAGCATTCATAGCTGAACTAAAGTAACAGTGAATGTTTTTACTGAATTTTAGTTCTGATTGAATAAAGACAGATAACACAAGGCAGAAATTGCTTTTCTGGACCTGAGAAAGAAAAATCTGTTACAGAACAGTTTGTGCTGTAGTCAGGACCCCCCAAATTAATCAAAAGTCATTTTATACAAATACAGTATTACATAATGTGAGTCACATACTTTGATGTTTCTCTTTGAAGAATGTTTCTTCCTCAGTCTGTGGTACCATAAAAATATGGTCTGATTTAATAGGAGTGACAGTCAGGATTCAACCTGTTGCATATGTAACAATACATGTTAAAAGTACAGCTGAAAACGTGGGTTAATTTTAATACCTTCTGAGCAGTGTCACAGCTGCTGAGCACTACTGGAGATCATGTGCTGACAATGAGTGACTGCAGCTGTTACTGCTCTGGCTGGGGAGAAGTTACCCTTGTAGCAGTCTGTATTTTGCTGTGCTTTGCTTTGTGGCTAAAACACCAGTGATACCATCAATATGTTTTGTCTGCTGCTGAATAGATTTGCACAGTGTCAAGGCTTTCCCTCCCACCCTCCCTCAAAAGCAAGGAGGCTGGAGGGGATGGCTCTCATCATCTTTATCCACAAATCTTATCTGCCTTTGAATTTTGGGTGAGGGGAGTGAGCAAAGGGCAGAGTGTGGCTGCTTGGCTTCTGTCCAGGGGCAGCCCAGGACAGCAGCTTGCTACTCATCCTACTTGACAGTGAACTAGAGCTACGTATAAAATGGAAATACTGTGAGCTGCATCCTGCTTTAACCCCTTGTGTCTTCCAAATATTGACATTTCCTTTATGGTCTGTTCTTGGCTGTGACTGAGAAACAGTTTGAGGCAAACTGGGGGCATCTGGCAGTTTGCAGATACAGTTGTGGCAGTATTTTTATTTGCTCTCACTAATGTCAGAATCTTTGCTTACAGGAAGAATTGAATGATGCTGTAGGATTTTCCAGAGTTGTTCATGCCATTGCTAATTCTGTAAGTTAATGTGATTTTTAACCTACCTTTGTAAGAAAAAATAAATAATTCAAAGAGGGTTCTTTTGCTGTTACATTTTGGAGGAGAAGTTTAAGTGACTTAATGAAATACAAGTTTAAGTGACATTTAAAGTTTATGTTGTTTCATGTATTACAGTGGTTGAGTGTAGTAGGTTAAGTAAGCTCAAACTAAAGAATAATGTGAAGAATCTTACTATCTGTAAGAGTCAAGAATAGCAATTTCTTAGGGCTCTTACATAATAAGCTTTGGTGGATTTTTTGTTCCTCTGTTGTAAAAAGATTTTGGAGTTTTTTTCCTTTTTTTTTCTTGGCAGTTAAAGGCTGTCAAAGAAGGACTGTTGTCATGTCAAATGAATCAAAGATAACATTTAAAAAACTGGTTGAGCTCTTTCAAAGAGCTTGCTTGTACAACATCTGGCATGAAAGGTTCTGCACTGTGAGAAGCCAGACCATGCCCTTAATAACCATTGTATGTTACAACCACAAGGTTGTAATATATTGTGTGTTCTTGTATAAGTAAATTAAAAGGCAATGGATGGAGAAATGCCTTGACTTTCATTTTAAATAGATTACATTTGGGAACCAAGTTGTAAGTAGTGTTCTAGTGCATCTTCTCAACACATGAAGCTGCTGTGAAAGCCTGTGATAAAGGGTGGGAGTAGAGGAAAAAGGAGTGGCTGCTGTGGGAGAATGGAGGAATCTGTGGGGCAGGCAGAGAGCAAATGGAGGGGATTGATGTGTTCTTGTTCCCATGTGCCTTTGGCTGCCATCTGGGGTAGGGGTTTTCACAGATGCCCTTTGCCATGGCCGGGACTGGAAATTTGTAACAGACATTTTTCACAGGGCAAGCTTGTTATTGGGCACAACATGCTGCTGGATGTTATGCACACCATACATCAGTTCTATTGCCCCCTACCTGATGTAAGTAATCAAGTAATCTTTTGAGTGTTCAGATGATTAAATAAATGCCTTAATGTATTTGTCTTTTAGTATTATCTCCACACTTTGTTCTGAATGGAAGAATTGGTCAGCCTGGGAACAAGTGTAGAAAAGTATTTTAGAAAAATCTGTTTGGTACTTCTGGGCTACTACCTTATTGTCATAAATATTTTTGTAAAAAGTTTAGTTGGATTGTTCTCCTTTGCCTTTTTAAAAGGTTCAAATCAGATAGTAGAATAGTTTTGCTTATGTCAGGTATATTGAACTGACTGACATGTTATAAGATACTGGTCTGGAGCTTCAGCACAATTACGTGGCATTTTCTCCTTTGTAGTTTACAAAATGGGAATGTGTGGTTTTAAATAATATAGTACACTTTCTAAAATGATAAGCAGTCTTGTAGCAGGATGATGTTCACTGGGATGAAGAGGTACAATGTCAGAATAATTGGAGGGAGCCCACTTTGACTGCAGCAGGGCTGTCTAACAGTTCATGACTGGACTATTCTGTTAAACTAAGCAGTGTATTGGCACCAAAAGCACTGTCTGAGGAAGCCAAAGGTCTCATTGGAAGGATGGCTCACATGGTGTTTGGGGAAAGACTTGATCATAAGATGGGAAAAAGAAGTTTGGGACGAGTTTGGATGTTGTTGGAATGTAAGCAATTGTCAGTAGTTCCTGTATTTTGACCCTTGGCAGATCTAAACCTGTAGGCAGTCCCTGCATACCTGGAGTGACTGTATTCCATTGAAAGGCAAAATGCTGAGAACACTTCAGAACTGTTAACTGGGCTGGAATCAGAGCTAGCCCAGGGTATGAAATAGGACAAGGTGTTGGCAGTGAGAGAACATTTATTACTAATGACAGACAATTCAGAAATACGTAGTCTGTAGTTGTGTGTAATTGCAGGTGGTGTATATGGTAGTGCTGACAAATACATCTCTTACAGTGAGAATTCAGTTGCTGTAGCTCACTTTTAGAGGCTGTTTGGATAATTGTAGCTACTGCTCTCTGTCCTCCGAGACTGTAAACAGTTCACTGACTTGGATTTTATCTCCGGTTTAATGTTAAATTAGGACCTAAGTGAGTTCAAGGAAGTAACGTCTTGTGTCTTTCCCCGGTAAGTTCTTAGTTCAAACTTTCAACCATTTCAGTATAGTTGTAGCAAGCTGATGTTTTTTGTCCTAGTCCTGTATCCTAGCTGTTACTGGAAAACAAATTGGGATCAAGTTAGATAAATACAATTTTAAAGTAGTTTTGAGCAGCTTTTTTTCAGAAAAGCAGTGTTGTTGGTTCACTTCTTGGCAAAAGATGCACCCTTGCTATTCCCTTGGGTTCAACATGATGTTTGGTGTTTGGAATCTGCACTTCATTTGGAACAAGATTTATTTGCTACTAGTTATTTGCATCTCTTGCTGTGCCTTGGTTGCTGTCCTTTTTCATGCTGAACAAAGCCAAGGAATGTTTTGGCTGTTCCAAATCCAACAGTAATTTTCAGTAGAGTGTATCTGCTGCTTACCAGCTAATACACTAAAATATTTTTTGAGGATTTGGCAAAATGGGCATTCTTCTGTTTCAACCTATTTAGCTCTTATTTTGTTTCTAGGTTGCTGGATACTAAACTGATGGCAAGTACACAACCTTTTAAGGTAAGTTAATATTATACAATGATTTGAAGATGCAAAATTGTATTAATACATGTATGTTGAAACAAATGATACTTCTTTGTAGAGAGAGATGTTGAATAATGTTCTCTGTGATGTTCTTTTTATTGTAGACAAATGATTTTTCTTTACCCCTTATCTAAACCTACAGAATTTATAGAATGCAAATTTTTACTTTCCTACTAGTGACTTTTGTCACTTTTGTTTGAAGCTTTATGGTAACTTGGCAGCTCTGGATTCCAAAATATGTAGAGTTTTTGCTGGGTAAAATGTGATTAGTAGATTATTTTCTTCTTGTTAAGTAGCATGTCCCCTTAGGATATAAAAAAAGTGCTGTTCATGAACAACTAGAATCTGGAAGCTGCTTGTATATTCAAAGCCTTAGAGTACTGTGAATGCTGACTTAGATTTGTGTGGAAAAATGCTTTATCATCATTAGGTTCTCTTGTGGCCTTTGCTCAGTGGGTAGTCAGCAGGAGGAAAAAAAAATTACAGGTTTCTTTTAAAATCTCTTACAGCATGAGTTTTATTCCTCTAAAGAAGTATTGAGATAAGTGTTCATAAGCTCTTGTTTTCCATGTGCCCTTGAATTAATTAAAAAACATGCTGAGGAAGCAGCATCTCTCTTTGTGCATAGCTCTGTGACTCTAGAGCATTGCATAAAGAAGTGCTATTAAATACACTTGTAGGTATTGTCAGGTTTGTGTTGCTGTGCTAAGAATAGAGGCTTTGGCATTCTGAAAAGTAAGAAACCTCCACAAGTTTATGTTTGGTGCAGCTATGTTGATATTTGTGATTCTACAGCAGATGCTTGGGTTTTTAGCCTGTTATGAAACTCTGCTTTTGGGATGCCAAATTAATGCATCATTTGAGCTTGTTCATTGTACTTAGTTCTTGATAACTTTTCAGTCTGCAGACTTGATGAGTGTAAAAAGCTGAGCTTGATTGAGAACCAAAGGAAACCTGGTCCTCATAGATCTCAGACAACTTTAAGAAAGATTGTGTGAGATGTTTTGCTTTCTCTGGCTGTTGATTGTGCATGTTTCCATTGTACTGACTGACAACATATATTTGATTAAGAACTTCAGTAAGGAATTAATCTGTAATATATTTTTGTGGCACTTTATTTAATGCATATAATTAATCAGTAGATTCACTGATGCTACTCAGCTAAGTTGACATGTAGGAGCAACTTTCTGATTGTCAGATTCCTTTCACAGTCTCTGTATTACTTTAAATCAGCAGTATTTACATTGTAAAACTATTCAAGAATGTCCAATCAGCAAGCACACAATACTCACCTTGAATGCCTTCAGCCATTATGACCAGTATTTAGAATATTTGCCCTGCTGTTTGTGCTACTCTTCCCTTGCCACACATACCCTGCATGAAACCAGATTCAAATAGAAATGTTACTTTGGCATAATCTCTCAGTAATTCTGAGTAGCATTAATAAATGCTTATGACTCATTATGGTGCAAGTGAGGCAAGGTAACTGAATTTGTCTTGACACACCTCTGGTGCATTAGTTTGAAATAGGGCTGAGTGTAGATCCTTAGAGAACACCAGGTGGCACCAGTAAATGCTCATTTGATCCTGTTTGATTTCAGTTTCCAGGGAAAATGTGCTTGGCATTGGCAATTAATGATGGCTTTTCTTGCAGGAGATCATTAATAATACATCACTTGCAGAACTGGAAAAGCGTTTAAAAGAGGTTCCATTCAGCCCTCCTAAAGTTGGTGAGGATATATCAAAATGCTCTTATTTCCAAAATATTTTGATTATTTTTGTTCTTGGTATGAAATACAAATTCCCCTACTAATACTTAGTGTTTTGATGAAGGGACTTTAAATGAGGGCACTTATATACAGTGCAATTATATTTAGAAGTATACCTGGAACTTAATAGTAATCTAGACAGTAAAAGAATGATGAGTTCAGTGAACAGCAGTTTCATCGTCTTCTAATGATGGATTTTTTTTTTTTCTTTTAGGTTGATTTTTGGGGATTAATTTGAAATTTGTTTGAAACTTTTATTTGGTGATTGTCGTTTAGATCAAAGCCAGAGCACTCCAGGAGGCATTTGGATAAACAAAACTAAAAAAACTTATACAGCAGTGACCAGTCGAGTGTGTGTGTGTGTTCTAAAAATTACTAAAGTTCTTTTAGTAGGAAAGGGGGATTTTTGCTTTGAGGTGAACAGAAGGATATTTAATCAAAGGGCAAGCTTAGCTCAAGGTTCTGGAATTTTTCTTAAGCTGCTGATTTAGAAGAGGGAGAGCAATACTGTAGAGTGGAGGATGTTAAAAGGGAAGGTTTCAATGCTTGATCAAAATCAAGATGAGCACTACTTTTTTATATTGCTGAATGTGCAGAGCATAAACACCAAGTGCATTTCTCAGTAAAGAAATCTTTAAATCACTCAATTTAATCTTCATTTAAATATCTTGAAAAATCTGACCTATCTGGTTAATAGTAAAGTTTTTAATTAGACTGTTCTCTTAAATGCAAGTCAGGAAAAAAGATACTCTTTGTGGGGAATTCTGCTGTCACTGTCTTACAACTAATACTCCATTTTGGCTGAGTAGGTCTGGGAATTTAGGGCTTTTTAATGGGAAAGGCTTACCATCTTATGAATCTATTCTTATTTAAAAATGCCAAACAAAACTGCTTTTTTAAGAACTGAAGAAAATTCAGAGGTTCTGAAAGTTGTATAAACTTCCCCAAATGATGTTATGCTCTGACAAAATAAGCCTGTGGGTAAGCATACAGGACTGTCTTTATCTTCTCTGGTAGTGTATTTATAATTGTCTTTTTCCCCTCAGAAAGTGCAGAAGGATTTCCAAGTTACGATACAGCATCTGAACAACTCCATGAAGCAGGATATGATGCTTACATTACTGGACTGTGCTTCATTTCCATGGCTAATTTCCTAGGTACCTGTGAAATCTTTTCCAAACCTTCTTCCTGGTGCTCTCTGTTTGCTTATTACATACTGAATTTATTCTTCATTCATCAGGTTCATTCCTCAGTCCTCCGAAAAACCATGTGTCTGCTAGATCAAAACTCATTGAACCTTTTTTTAACAAGTAAGTAGTTGTATAAAAAACCTGCTAAAACAAGGAAGTACACCACCAGCTTCAGCAGATCTACCTCTAGCTGTGGAATCAATAGCTTACTGCTATCTTTAAACTGAAGTTTTTTTGGCTTTCTGATTCATGCTGGTAATGCTGGAGAGGCTATGAAGTAAATACCTTTTCTTTTGAGGAGGAAGGTTTACTTTCTGCTGACCTGTGAAAGGACACTTAGAAGAGTACCTGGACTGCTTTAATGGGCTTGCCATTATTTCTGGAGTAAGCTTTGGAAGTGGTGAACTGAAAAAAAACTGGTCAGGGGTTCTTTGTTATAGGACCCTCAGTAACTGGTAATAGTGAAAACTCAGAGTGCTCAGCAGTCTGGAAAAACTAAAATATCCCTACGGGAATGTCAGTCCAAATAACACAAAGCATTGGTATTAACATTGTTGGGTAAGCCATTTTTAACATGGCATAAGAAATCTACATGTATAATTTATGGGATGATGCTGTGAGCAGTATTTTGCTTTTGAATTGGATCTTCTTGCAAACTCCTTGAACAAACTGAAGTAAGACTTGGGGAGTCTAGAGTCCTTTATGCACAGAGTCAATCCTTTACATAATTAATCTGTATATTTTACCTTAGGAAACTTCTAAAGATGCTGCAATCTGTCACATAAAGGAAAAGGAGTTGAAATTAAAAAGATTCTAGTGCTTACCCTGTCTAAATTCAGGAGAAATTCCATCCTTTCAAACCTGTAATACAAGAGTTGGCAAAATTAATTATTTTAGCTTCAGATGGCCCACACAAATGAGAAAATCATGGTAATCAATGCTTTTGCCTTTCATTGTTCTGAAAATCATATCATTATAGTGACAGCAGTTATGTAATTCTCTTGACACTGAGACATGTGAGCCAGTAAGTCCATATATTTTAGCAGATGCTACAAATATTCCCTAGATGAAACATGGACCCACAGTGACTGCTTGGTTTGAATGTGAGGTGAAGATAGAATTGATCAGCACAATTTCATTTTAGGATGGATTTATCACTAGGTTGTTTTCAGGAACACCAACACACATGCCAAGTAGTAGGTGCCAATTGAGCAGATTAATTTTTCAGTCATTAACCAAAATTCTTCCTAGAAATGCATATTTGCTACAAGTACAAACAGCAACTTCTAGAGCTGTCAGAATAGTACATTCAATTTAAGCTTTTCAAATTAATTGTGTACTTGAAATGTGACATTCCTCTAGGAGTGACATTTCAAAGTTGTGAGAGTAAGTGAGAGGAAGCCTGCTGTGTCTGTTCTGGCTTCAGGGTTAACTGCCTGACTGTACAGAAAGGAAGAGTTAACAAGCTGTAGGGAGCACAGCTGCCTTTTAAAATTTTTTTCTTTTTTAAGCAAGAACTGAAAATTACTCTTTATAAGAAAAGAATGTTTGTCCATTCTGCCATTATTGAGAACTTGTACCTTCTTGTTTCAGAAAAGCTATTTTTAAATCATGAATCATGGAAGCTTGGAAGACTTGCCATGTCTTACTTTCACATGACTTTAGAAGCTTTGCCATATTCTAACTAACATCTGCTATGTCACCTAAGTCAGAGCCTAGAGGTGAGACTCTCTCACCTTTTCTTACAGTAAGCAGACCAAGACTTGTATTTTTCATGCTAGTTTTCTTTCTCCTATAATGTAAAATTAACAAAACAGAATAAGACAACTCTTCTTTTTTTTAATAAAGAATGTTGAAGTACATGCCAGAAGTCAGAGCTGTGGGGTGTTTAAATGAGCAAGTCTTCTGCTCTGTTCAGTCAGTCCTTGCAGGTCTCTGTGTGCAGCATGTGGTGTTTTTAGCACCTGTAGTAGCATCCAGGGCTCTGCAGTTCAGAGTTCCCTGAAGGTCTCTTAGTGAATGTGTTGCTTCTGGGGCTTTTTGGCAGCTATGCTCTGGGCTGCCAGCCAGCTTCCCACTACACCTACTTGTCTCTAGTGTGTGGTCTAGACTCCTTCCCTAGCTGAGCATCCTCTCTTCCTGCTGGGGAGAAAAAAGCTGTCTTCCTCCTTCCTCCAGAAGTTCTACCTGATCCTGTGGGCAGCAGTCAGAGCAAGGAAACCTTTTCCTTTGTGCTGTGGTCATATTCTTCAAGCAAAACACAAACTATAACATGCAAACAGTAACCTAAACAAATGAAAGTTACACCTTGCGTCTCAAATTTTTCCTGAAAGAAGCTGAGCAGATGAGTTTAGTGTAAGGCAACTGTTTAGAAGTAATGTTCTCAGTTTGAACTATTATCCAGATAGTCCTGAAAATGTTCTTTAAAACAGACCATGATTCTTTGAGTTGCTTATAAAGTCTTAATTTCAAGATATCTGTATATTAGATGTTAACACTTAACCACAGTTTAATCACTAAACTTTCACGTCATTGCTAGGACTTTGGAAATGTTTTCTGTTTTAATGGGCTTGTCACTAATGTGATTTAAATGAGTACATTTAAAATGTAAAAAATCAAGCTTTGATTTTTAGTAACTTAGCTTTCAAATGAAGGTAGTACTTTTTTAAGAGTAATTTTGATGTCTTTCATTATGTCAGGAAAACTAGGGAACTTCCTGGCTGGCTGTTCAAGAATGACAGCCAGGATATACATTAATGTTCATATAGGTTATTGATGAACATAGGTAAAATCTTTAGTTTTAGGGCTTTTGTGAGAGTGGAACTGATTAAAAACAGACTTTCCCTTAGGGCTCTTAGGCTCTTCTAGGCATAATGCAGTGAGTTATGTGATAAACAACTCAATAAGATCGGAATTCCAGAGATGTATTTCTGTAATCTTTATGCTGTATTTTATATACAACATCTTTGAAAAATCCTGTTTGTCTGCTGTGAGTAATCCCCAATGAACATTTATGAGTTGAGATGATGGGACTCTTTATTGCAGTATCTAAACTCTTATGTGTATAATTTGGATATTGTTATTGTCTCACAAACTTTCAAGTTGGTTTGAAATTTTTTGACTGGTTTAGGGCAATGGCTCTTCCATATCTTCCCTCCCCCATCCACAAGCCCTTCACAAACTTTTAATGACAATGTTCTTTTGAATCTCCTTGGGTTGTTTGAATGCTGTTTATTCTTTTGATGTAGCTGGAGGCAGGGGGTGGAAGAGGTGTAGAGAAATGAGAACACCATGTTTTATTGAGCTAATAGCATCATGGTCTGTAGAAATAGAAATTAGCTTAGAAGGTTTTTAGCATCATGGTCTGTAGAAATAGAAATTAGCTTAGAAATGTTTTTTTATAAAATGGATACCAGAAACCAAAATCCATGCAAATCACTTGGGTTTGTGCTATATTTGTAGAAAGTTTCTCATAGGGAGCTATGTTCTCTGGCATGTATTGGAAATCCCTCAGCTTTTCTATATTAATTTAGTTTTCTTTGCAAAATTACTGCAAAAAGAGATTGGTGTGCTTTTGTTCAGTTTGACCAATAGTTTCCCATTCTCACTGTAGGAGTAAACAGTCACTGTTCTTGTGCTTTTATTGAAAGCATTTCTTGAATGTTCTGAGAAACTCTTCAGATACATGTTAAAGAGGAAAAGACTCATCCCAGTTATCTCCAAAGAAGTCATGATGGCTTTGCAGTTTAGGGTTTTAAGATCCATTCTGTCTAAAGCATGTTGAAGTGCTCAGAAAATGGGGAGATTTATGTGTCTTTAGAATGATGCATTTGCACTACCCACTGTGCAAGGGGCTCTTACAGCATAAAGCTGCCACTTGTTAAATGTTCCTTCCCCACTTGTCCTTACTGTTTTTAGCAGTAACAAATTGGGCCTTTTTTGCCCTTGTTTTCTTGAATAAGTAAAATTCCTGGTACGATGCCAAGTAACTTTTGAATCTGGTTGTTGGATAAGAGATTGGGCTTAGAGGGTCTGTTTTGTTTTAACATACCTTAGGATAAGTTTGGGATTGTTAATTCTGCATCTTTAGAAGAAACATGTAAAAAAACTACAAAAAGGAAAAGGTCTTCAGGCAGAAATTTGCTAATAGTTCTTTTCCATTTTGCTTCTAGGCTATTTCTAATGAGAGTAATGGACATACCATATCTCAATTTGGAAGGACCAGACTGTAAGTAGCTTCTCTCATTGTAAAAGTAGTACCATTCTGACACACTTCCTGGGGAAGGAAGTGGAAGGATTAATAATGTATATCTAAAGCAAGGATGTCAGCTGTGTTTAGGTTGTTAGCTACTTATGAAATGATTTAAATATGTCTGCTCCCTTGTTTCCCTTTAAAAAAATAGTAAACCCAGAAATTCTTCAACTTTGACTAGAGAATCTGCATTATGAAGGGGGCTGATGAAAAGAAATTAAGTTAATGTTACTAAATGAGAGAGTTTGAAATTAACAGCTTTATTGTTATTTTGGTTTACTATTCTTATGTACCATATCATAAAAATCTTATGTACCATAAAAAGTGGGATCTTAACACTGTCCTCTCACTCCAGCAGTAAATACAGAACCAGTGAATAGCAAATGGTTCTGAAAATCTTGTGGCCACTTTGTTTCTCAATTGCTGTGCAGGAGTACCTCTCCTTAACTTCAGCCTAAACATCAGGATTCTTTTGCCACATGGGATTATGATAATGGAGAAATACTGCTTAAAACATTTTTACCTTTCTGGTTACTTCAGTTTACAGACCTGGAGCTGTAATTAGTTGATAATGTATTTAAATTAAAATAGATTCTACTAATGTAAATGTCTTTATTGTTATGGGATGTTTCATTCTGAGGGGGAAAACTTTGGATGAGGGTTCCCACTGTTGCCTTGACTTAAAATGTGAAGCCCTTGAGGTCAGTCTTGTCCTTGATTAGATAAAAGCTTAATTTTATATTGAGGAGTCAGGTACACAATGTCTTTAAAATTATATCCATTTGGGAGCAGTGCTGATGTGGACACATTTTCCACTCCTTGCATCAGACAGCTCAGACTGGAGTGTGACTCTATCAGATGCCAGTGTAATAGTAACAGAATGCAGTTCCAGAGAGATGGAGGTAACTGTTGGAGAGGAGAATACATGCTGTAAGGGCATAAATTTAATTTTAAATTCAGTTAGGTGGTCAGATCACTGAGCTCTGGCTCTGCTGGAATGGTAATCTAATTACATTGCATCTTCCTTCCCCAACTGTTTGATACTGAGTGGAAGAATGGGTAAACACTTTGGGTCATTGAGAGAGTGCCAAAGCTACTAATTTGTAAAGATGCTACTTCCACTTGCTGGCCAACTTACAGGATTGTTTTGATGCTTTGCCAAGAAGGGTTGCCAAAAAAGAGTCTGCCTCTGAAAGTCTGTCTCTTTTATCTGAAAGCCACTTCTGTAGAGCAGACTGAGGCAGATAGTCTAGGAGAGCCTGAGCCAAGGAGGCTTTCTAAGCCTCAAAACAGAAAGCATTGCAGGGGTGGCATGTTGGGCTGGCTGGTGTAGCCACTTCAGTTGCTGTTCTGAGATGTAAACACCACTGTAGGTTGAGGTAGCAGTCTGGTGGTTGTTTGTGGGGGACTGTTTTGCAGAGAGGCAAAGCTGCCTAAAGAGTACAGCCAGGTTTCTGTGGGAGGTGCACTTGGAGTCTGTATTTTTTAAAAAGAGATGAGGCACAGCTGACTAGGTGACTGTTGTGATTTGTATGTTTCTGTTTGTCAGGTAGTGTGAAACAGCAAGTTTGTGCAATTTTTCCTGAAATAATGGATTTCAGTAACATGTGCTAAGTCAAATAGTATTGAATATGTGAATGTGACTTCCATCATCTTTTGTTAAAATGTGTGTTAAAAACTCATTTAAAAGGATGACGTTGCTGCACAAAATTACTGAAAAAAAAAGAAAATAATCAAATACTTTTCACCGGAGTAGGGAGAATTTAGAGATTTTAAGAGTAGACTCACTGTGAATTTAAGAATAAACAGATACAGGAAGGTTAGGAATAGTTTCTTTTCTCTAATCCATGTAAAAGGGATGTAATATCTAAAACTGGAGTTGTTCATGCTATGATTTTCTACTACTGGATTACAAATAATTTAACTATGAGTTACTCTCTGTGCAGTAAGCTCTACAGCAATGAATTGATCTTCTGTTGCTTGTGTTGCTGTTTCACTTGTATAATGCAAAAATATTGAATTTTAGTCTTTTAAAAAATATTGTGTCCTTTTGTTTAAGTAGCAGATTTAGGGAACAGGATTTCACCTGTGCTCATGAAGGGATTGCTTTCCTTAACTACTTGTGTCTCTGGCCAGCCTGACTGCACTCTCAGTGCTCACCTGTAATTATCATTAGGAAGTTTCTGGCCAACTCAGAGTAATCCATTTGTTAGGTGAAACAAAGTAAAACACTTAGCAATAACAAGTGGCTGATAGTCTGATATGGACACCTGCTCTATGAATGAGAGACACCTTGGAAAGCTCTCCTGTTTTAATGCTGAAAGCTAAGGAGATCAGAAACTAGAAAAGTTTGTATTACAAATGAATTCAGGAGGGTAAGTCACTAATCATTCACTAAAATGAAAAACAGTCCCTATGTCTCTATAGCAAAAGAGAGAAGATTTTCCTGAGAGTGTTACCAGGTGGTCAGATTAAAATCTGATCACATGGAGCTGTTTGTAGTTAACCCTTGAGTTATCCTGAACAAACTGGAGCACTTGACTTCAGTGGTTCAGCCTCTGTCATCAAATCAAAAACACAGAAGATTTAGCCATGTGTCATGCATAACAAAGGAGATCTCTGCAGATACCTGTGGAAAGGCTATCTGCAGATAGTTCTGTAGGAAATTTCAGGCAATATTTCAGTATCTTTGTCCCTGAAAATGCAGTGTTCCAATTGTTTCTTTTTAAAATATGATAGGAATTCACAGGTTATAAAAGCTCACATCCCTAGGGAAAGGAACTTCGGGTAGGAGAAATGTGTAAAAGTAAGGTACATAGTAAAAATTTCTGCTGTGTTCTTACCTCTTCCAGAAGCTTGATTTGGATTCTCTCTCAAATTCACAAACCTTAAAATGACTTTCAGCAATACACTAAAGACTTCTTCTGCACTTGATGTTGGCCTTGATGAGCTGTCTTTTTTTCTTGGTGTAATTTTCAGTAATAGTGAGAAGTGTGTCTGTTCTGGCTTGTATCTAATATTATATGAAAACTGAGTTGAACATTGTTTCACAGAAAGTTTTTAATTAACAGAAAAATGACAAAAATTGAACCATTGCTAAGAATCTTGTGTCTCTGGCCAGCCTGACTGCACTCTCAGTGCTCACCTGTAATTATCATTAGGAAGTTTCTGGTCAACTCAGAGTAATCCATTTGTTAGGTGAAACAAAGTAAAACACTTAGCAATAACAAGTGGCTGATAGTCTGATATGGACACCTGCTCTATGAATGAGAGACACCTTGGAAAGCTCTCCTGTTTTAATGCTGAAAGCTAAGGAGATCAGAAACTAGAAAAGTTTGTATTACAAATGAATTCAGGAGGGTAAGTCACTAATCATTCACTAAAATGAAAAACAGTCCCTATGTCTCTATAGCAAAAGAGAGAAGATTTTCCTGAGAGTGTTACCAGGTGGTCAGATTAAAATCTGATCACATGGAGCTGTTTGTAGTTAACCCTTGAGTTATCCTGAACAAACTGGAGCACTTGACTTCAGTGGTTCAGCCTCTGTCATCAAATCAAAAACACAGAAGATTTAGCCATGTGTCATGCATAACAAAGGAGATCTCTGCAGATACCTGTGGAAAGGCTATCTGCAGATAGTTCTGTAGGAAATTTCAGGCAATATTTCAGTATCTTTGTCCCTGAAAATGCAGTGTTCCAATTGTTTCTTTTTAAAATATGATAGGAATTCACAGGTTATAAAAGCTCACATCCCTAGGGAAAGGAACTTCGGGTAGGAGAAATGTGTAAAAGTAAGGTACATAGTAAAAATTTCTGCTGTGTTCTTACCTCTTCCAGAAGCTTGATTTGGATTCTCTCTCAAATTCACAAACCTTAAAATGACTTTCAGCAATACACTAAAGACTTCTTCTGCACTTGATGTTGGCCTTGATGAGCTGTCTTTTTTTCTTGGTGTAATTTTCAGTAATAGTGAGAAGTGTGTCTGTTCTGGCTTGTATCTAATATTATATGAAAACTGAGTTGAACATTGTTTCACAGAAAGTTTTTAATTAACAGAAAAATGACAAAAATTGAACCATTGGTAAGAATTTTTTAAAAGTGGAGCATGAAGAGGTTGTTGTCTTGGTTTTGGGGGTTTTTTTTCTCCTTTTTTTTTCTGTCCTTGGACTTGGTTTGGTACAAGGGATGAGAAGGACTACATTTGTGGACATTTCCCACTACAAGAAATGCTGTTTCAATTTCATAAGCAGATGAGCTAGTAGGATTTAGTATATCTTTCATGCCTGAGTGCAGGCACATTTTCACTGTATCTGATGCAGTTTCATAAACCTTTGCCTGTTTTCTTATTTAAAAAGGAAAGGAAAGAAAAAAGCTACCTGACTACATTAGATGACTGTTTTAGGATATTCTAAAGATACTAGCAGTGACTCTTATTTTAACAAAAGGATTTTTGTTTTGTAGTGCAGCCCAAACGAGATCACGTTCTTCATGTTACTTTTCCCAAAGAGTGGAAGACTAGTGACCTATACCAGCTTTTCAGTGCCTTTGGTGAGTGATATAGTCTGTCTTTTTTTGATTTTGTTTTGTTTTATTATTATTAACAAGTTAAACTTCTGGTTTGTTTTGTTATTTTTAGTCTGTTGGTGCAGACTTATTCCTGGTGTAAGGAATGATGAACCTCTTTTTGTAATTTTTAAATTTGGTGTCCTGTGGACTTTGTAATGATGTGTTGAAAATTACTGTTCTTATTAACTGTTGTTTAGAAATCTTTATTTGGTGCTTGTTGAATATTGTGGATCTTTTATCCTTTTATTTACAGCTTCTCCTGATAGGACGAGTTTGTATAGGTAAAAAGGGTATATAGGTGAAAAAAGGGAATGGTGTGGGGCAGGTTGAGGTTTTAGGAACAAGGTTCATCCTGCAGCTGGTAAAGCCAAACTCCAGCATATGTGAGTCTAGGCAAGCAAGCAAACTTGAAAATAACGAGTTTGATTTCCAGATTGTCAACACCATCCAAATGAGAAGAAACAGCAACAAGAGTAGTTAACAACTGAGGACCAGTAGTCCTGTTGTTGCTCTATTAAGTAGAAGTATGAAATGTAGGTTAGTTTCTGTAGGCTAGTGTCCAGGTTAGTTACCTGGACAGCTGAACTAACTGATGGTGGTCTCCTGCTCCTTATCTCTTGTGGCGTGGTAGTGTCTGTGCAGGGTCTCTGGAGCTGCATCCAGCTCCCTCGGTTCCTTGCGAGCATTCGATCTTCACTGCAGCAGGGGTCAGGGTGGTGGCTGGGACTGCACAGCCCCGGGTGGGCGATGCGGGACGGGAGAGCGCAGCGGTGGCGGGGCTGTCCCGGCGCGGTGGCAGAGCTGTCCCGGCGCGGTGGCACGGCTGTCCCGGTGCCGTGGCACGGCTGTCCCGGCGCGGTGGCACGGCTGTCCCGGCGCGGTGGCACGGCTGTCCCGGTGCCGTGGCACGGCTGTCCCGGTGCCGTGGCAGGGCTGTCCCGGTGCTGTCCGGGCCGGAGCGCGCCTCGGGCTCGGCCCCGGCGCTGTCCGTGAGGGCACCGCCGCCAGGGGGCGCGCTCACGCCCCGCTCAGGGCTCGCTGTGGGGCTGCAATTCCCGCACTTCTGATTTTAGAGCTGAATGTTTTCATATTTCCACTTACAAACTCCGGGCTCGATAATTAATCTATATTTTTTAAAAGTCTTTTTGCCGTGGTATCTCAAAACAAACTGCGGATTATTCCTTCCAAAATTCTGGAATACAGAAGTACCCATGTTTTTCCAGTTGTAGGTGGGTAGGGGCAGAGTGGTACAGCGTGAGGTTGAGTCACTTGCCAAAAGCTTAAAAAAAAAAAGGCAGTAACAGACATGAATTATCCTAAGGAATTACATCAGTTAAAGCAAAGCATCTTGAAATCAAGCAGTATTAGTCAAATTTTACAGAAAAATTATTTTAGAATGAATTCAAGCAGAGTTATAATCTTCCATGGAGCTTCTAACAAAATATGGTGAAACAGCTGAAAGGGCTGCAGTGTCACACTTGGAACTGGTTTACATTTGCTACTCTAGAAGGGCTGTTCATGATTCTGAAATCCTTCAGGACTGCCTGCATACCAAGTGGACACCTGTTCATGCAAGATGTTTTTATGGTCTCAGGGGTGAATGTAGTTTCACTGTACAAGTACTTGCAGCACTATGCAGTCTCTTAGAAGACTTTAAATTCTTAAATTTGCACTGTTTATTTGGTCATGCTGATGTGAAATAAGAAGTCATTAAAATTCAATTTGCTAGAATACAGCTTTAGTGTATAGCCTTAAGTTCTACTTAAATTAATGTTTTTGGGCTTTTCATTAAAACTCATACTATCGAAGCATTATAAAAACTACTGCTTAATTACCAGTAGAAGTCATGTAGGAAATGTACAAGAACAGAGTATAAAAAGGAAATGTTTCAATTATGTAATCCATCAGTATGATTTTATTCTGTGGACTTAATCTTGTTTGCATGTTTGAGTTAATATATGGAGAATTTTCAAATTTCTTTGTAGAAGAAATATATTTTACTTACACCTTCATGTCATAGTCCACCAGTGCCACCACCCAGTGGCATTCTTCAAAGTATTGAAGACTTGATGTATTCTAGAAGTGCAGAGAGAGAAATGTCCTGGTTTATTTCTCTAGAGCCGGTGTTCCATTACATTGCTGTCCATGGCTTATCTGCACTGGCCTTGCAGTGAGCTGGCACAGGGCTCTGGTGATTGCTAAATACTGTACTGAACTGCATTTGCTTTCCAGCTCTTTATTTGCATTTCACCATACTTTTGAAATGCACAATATTTACTGAGTGCTTAGCAGTATTGCTGAATGATTTAATTTATTAATCTTATCTCTAAATTCTTACTTCTTAATAATGGTAAAATGTGGCAGTCTGAAGAGAGCATTTCTTAAGCATGGAGAGTTGCATAAGAGCCTTTGTGGTTTGCTTCAGATTGGCATTCATTGTCTGCTATTTAATGTTTGACTTTCTTTAAATTGTATTTAAAATGTATAAATCTGAGTATAAAAAGCAAGATATGTTGGCAGGTGTTGAAACCCTTTATTAGCTAAAAATACAAAGTCAGAAGTCATATGGAATGCATCAGCCTTTCTGCAATAATAAATAAGGATCTGATACTGAAATTATGTGCCACCAATAGGTTGGATTTTTATTAATTTATTATTTGCCACTTAGTGAAAATATGGACACTGAAGTCCATTTGAACAGTAGCTGAATGCTGAATTCCATTATGAGATTTTTTTTTGTCTATCACTGACCTTCTTTCATATTTTATATTGAGGGCACAATTGCAAGCTATTCAGGAGAATTTTTCTTTTTATCTTTCAGTTGACTCAGGAAGGTTAAAATTAATAAACTGTATACATAGGAAAGGGACACAATCTGGACAGCATTTCTGTGTTCCAGAGTTACAACAGGATACAACAGGTCTCAGAAATGATTGTTTGGAAAATTGTGTAATTAGTAATACAAAATTGGAGAACTTCATACATAAATAATTTTAGAGCAAAGACTTATCAATGCATGTAGAGCAATATGAATTTGTACAGTAATTTCTGTCCTTTAAAGGAAACTTTGCAAATTGCACCACAGTTCTGAGCTGCAGTCACGAGTCAGCTTGGGCCTTTGTTGTGGAATGTTAGTGTCCTGCCAAAAGGATGTTCTCCCTACACCAAAGAGCCTTGCCCATAGGCAGCAAAGTCCTGTGTTCTTCAAAGGCAGAATTATTAGAAATTGAATTTATGTACCCTAAAAAATGTTTAAAGAAAGTTTAACTTCATGGTGTAGACTCATCTTAATAGCAGCCTTGGCCCTTCAGTACAGGGAGATGTCAGAAACCAGACTGAATTAATTATGGTTTTGGCAGTGATCAAAATGATTATAACTTAAACTCCTAAATAGCTGGCTATTCAAATGTATAGCATGCGAATGAAATCTATCTAGGCTTTTATTTTTTTATAATTAGAAAATCTGTTTATAATCTGGCTGGATTTCAGAAGAGATTTCTATAACCTTGTAACCTGTAGACTAAATTAGATTTCAATAGATTAAACAACTGAGAATAAATGTATTTTAAGCCCTTTTGCATCGTTGTTTTTAACCTTGTAATGTCTGAAGGTTAAATGGTGGTGTAATGTAACATTATATATAACTTGATTTTCTAGTCTACATGAAAAAAATTGCACCAGTTTTCAATATCTGAATTCTGCTAACAGTAAAGCACTTAGATAAGGACAGGAGATGTAAGCCCAGGAGATGTAAATGGGTTTCAGACTATAATAAGACCTTGTGTCTGGAATGGGAATCCTTTCCTCTGCTTTTGCTTGATTATGAGCTCTTTTAGTGCTAATGTGACATTTTAAGCCATTCACATAGAAAATGCACTAACTGCTTGATGAATAGAGGGACTTATTTCCAGTCACTGTTCCATTGTAACAGCTTCCAAATGAGGTCCATGATTTTCTGCATTTGTCTTCATATTGACTCAAATTAAGTTTTTAGTTCACATCCAGGAAATGATGTATAGTGGGATTCAAACAAATCAGAGGTTGAAGATTTAGTGTCCCAACAGTGGAGTTCTCCATTGATGTGATCAATCCTCTACCTACCCCTTTTGACTGTAATTTTTCATCACTCAAAGAGATGTTATTTATTTGAGCAAAGGGCTGAAATTCCCAGAAAATCACTTCAGTTTATTCTGTAGACTTGCATAGAAGCCGTGAAGGGAGGATGTGAGGGCCTGGGGTGTACAGGATGCTCATGCTGTCCTGACTTTCTGAACAGTTCCAGGCTCTTGTGCAACTGGGTATGAACTGCACACCTGTACAGTGGACAAAAGCTTTCTCAAGTGCAGCTACTCTTAGTTGGCTTCTTTATGTCATGGCATATCAGATAAAAATCTGTGACTGAGTCTAAAATAAAAAGTCATACAAATTTCTTTTGCTTTTCTAGGTAACATTCAGGTTTCAACACCTGCACAGTGGACAAAAGCTTTCTCAAGTGCAGCTACTCTTAGTTGGCTTTTTTATGTCATGGCATATCAGATAAAAGTCTGTGACTGAGTCTAAAATAAAAATAGTCATACAAATTTCTTTTGATTTTCTAGGTAACATTCAAGTTTCGTGGATTGACGATACATCAGCATTTGTCTCATTGAGCCAGCCAGAGCAAGTACAAATAGGTGAGTGTTGCTCACTTTTATTTCAGCATTAAGACTTTAACTGGCTCCTGCAGAGTGCTCTGAGCCAGCAGGGTCTGTGATTGTAATGGCAAAACCAGTGACTTGCTTGGAGGAACTGGACTTCCATAGCAGCAGCAGCCCAAGCTGAACTTGATTGAGAGTTTTGTGTTTCATTCCATGATCCTCCAAGTACCTAAACCTGTAGGTAGAATAGTGCTGATTTCTTCACTTGGTGCAGTATTTATTGAGGCTGTTTACTGTTACTTTGCACAGAGTATAACTATCAAAGGCTTTTGTAGTCTTCACCTCCAAGTACCCTTTGGACTGATGCACATTTAGTTGGGTTTACATTTTCAAGGAACAAATGCAGTGAGAAGCCTTTTGGTGCATTGTAGAACACATGTATGTACCTACTGTCTGTGTATGAACAATGTGCAGCCTCTCCAGACCTAAGTTTTTAAATTTTTATTTGAACATTTGAAAATATTGCTGTTAGTTATGTGGGAAAACAGTCTTGTTTGTGGTTTGGGGATTTTATGTTCTTTTGGGGGTGGCTTTTTGACTGTAGTTGAATCCACAAGCTCTTTGTGGTTTCTCTAGTTCTTTGGGGCATTTATTTGAGTTCTGACCTGTAATCTTACTTCAGGGAACAATGGCTGGAACAATGGCCATTATAGATGATCATCTGGGATATGTTCTGGTAGTGTCACCCCCATTTACTGAAACACTTGCAGCAAATGCTGTGGGGCCAGTGAGAGCAGCACTTGTAATTAACTGGCTAAAATTTTATTGCACTTAAGAGCTATTCAGACAGAATTCCCACAATTAAAAAAAGAAATAAAACAGATTAGAAAACCCCACTGAGTTTATCATCATCTATCCTTACTAAGCTCAACTAAAGAAGCTTTCAGGGTGTGCATGTGCCATCACTGCATCTCTGTAATTCCTTGTGAACATCCTGGGAGTGTTTATCATACTTCCTCATACATTCATAGCTCTGCAGAGGATTTTGAGGGCTCACCAGCAGCCTCCTTACAGCAATTGCTCCATAGCAGCAAGAGCCATTGTTTCTGCATCCATATATAGATATAAGAATGAAATAACTTCTGATGTGAGGTTTCAGATAAAGAATTATGTCAATTAAAGCCTTCCTAGATGCTGATACTGTAAATTCCCCACTGCTGTCACCTCAGGTACTTACCCATTGTCTAAATGCTTGGTGTATTCACTTCACCACTACTTTTTGTTGTTGTTGTTAGGTTTGGTTTTGGTTTTTTTGTTCTGCTTTTGTTATAGCAACTAGATATTTTGGAAAGAACTGAATGTCTGCAGAACATTGAAACTGAATCTTTCTGGCACTGCTCTGTGTCTTTTTTTGTGCTTTGACAAGCAGGGAGGCTTGTTCTATGGCCTACGTGCTGGGAAATGTTATTTGTCTGAAAGCTCAGGTGATTATAGTCTTTCATAGATTTGTAGGAAATCAGGTTAGTAGAAATTCATGTACTGAAAGCAGTGGGCCTACCAAGCTGATAAATTAAAGCAACCTCACTTACCAAAAATTGTGTGATTTTTACTGTAATTTTTTTTTTTAATTCTTGATATTTTGTTGGTTTGGGTATTGGGGTTTTTTTCCTGTAATAAATGCATTCTAAAATCAATTCTGTTATTCTATTCCCTCATCTTCAATTCTTTATGAATTGTTTTGGTAATAAAAGTCCCTGTTTGTACTTGTGATTTAGTGAGATATGCTTAAGTGAAGGACCTAGGAGAAACTATAATGTGGCCTGTTTTTTAACCTGTTCCTATAAATGTCTGCATTTTCTGGACTTTGTAGAAAGCCTTGGAGGACTGTGAAACAACCTGAATACAGACAAGATGTTGCTACGTGTGTACTTCTATGCTTACCTCTTAAAGAGGTTTCTGACTTTGAGCTGGTATTAAAACTTAGAGTTAAGTAAACACAAATGCAACAAGAACATCTATGGGACATAAATGGATCAAGGACATGAAAAGTGTGTGGACGATGTTGCTACGTGTGTACTTCTATGCTTACCTCTTAAAGAGGTTTCTGACTTTGAGCTGGTATTAAAACTTAGAGTTAAATAAACAAAGTGCAACAAGAACATCTATGGGACATAAAGGGATCAAGGACATGAAAAGTGTGTGGAATTTTCCCCTAAAGTGTTCAGATTTCCCTTACAGAGGAGTCTTAAGTACTGTAAAAACATGCAGACTCGCTTTGCATCTTTTTAATAAGGAAATTGTGTGTGAAAAAGCAATGAAAATAGGACTGGTAATTATGTGCATGGAGTGTTAATTTATTTGGGTCTATCAGATTTTGAAACCCCGTTCACAACTGGGAGGTGTCTTTATTTTTCTGTTGCAGCAGTGGTTCAAACGCTGAATATTTGGCTGAACTAAGGTAAAGTTAGAGACTTGAAGAGCAGATCATTTAAAGACTGATCTGCCATCCTCCCTGGGTGTGCATGCTCAACATAACCAGTCGATGGATCTGCCTGGTTTCTTAACAATTTTGCTCCAATAACTTTCAATTTTGTTCAGCTTCATAGGTGTTACAAGAGAACTTGAAATATGATTTGTCACTGAGACTAGCTTTGTGTAACTGTATCTAAAGTGTAGTATTCAAATGGTGGTACTTGTCTTTCATATTTCAAATAATTAGTTATCATGCTTAACAAATGGCAGACCTCTCAAAATGTGGCACTTTGTGTAAACTGTTGCTGCTGTGCTGTTTTTGTTGTTTCTTGCTCTCCTGGCTTCATTATTTTAAATTGGCTAGAAACTCATTCATCAGCATCCTGGGAATATGTTGGATTTCTCACTGATTCAAAAATCCATTTTGAATATGTAGAGAATAAAATATATCTCTTCATTCCCCAGTGCTCTTTAAAACAATGTGCCCGAGTTAAGTAATATAATGGATGGTAACCATTAAAACCTAGTCCAAAACTGATTGGTAAAACACTGGCCTGTAAGATTTTCTGTTTATAAACTATACATTTGATTAGCTGAATTTAGCTAATAAGCAGCTCTTCAAATTTCACATGGTAATCAGTAGTGTTTATGTTGCTAGGGAGAATGTGCATTCCAATGTTTTAATTGTTCAAGTGTTACCCTGAAGGACCTATGAATCTTTGCATAATATAAAAAGACTTGTTTTCTCTTCCACTTTATTTCCTCTGAAAAACTAAGTAGGGAAAAGGGCAGTATTTTTATAGGCAATTTTGGAGCAGCTCCTAACTTTCCAGCTGAATACGGCATGCTTTAAAACACACAAACAAGGAACCTTGGGAAACAAGAGTCAAATGCCTTAAACTTCTCATTTTGTTGCCTATGATAATGTCCAAGAATATTCACTTTATTTGGCTGTTCATGCGACTCACACATTGGCAATCTTAGGCTTGTTCTTGTATAAAATTATATTTATGCACTCTCCATAGCTGCAGCAGGACAGATGCTAGGGAGCATTGCACAGTCTGCCGTGCCTGTCTGTGCAAGCTGGACCTGGCCCTTGCCAGGGGGAGGCTCTTGGCTTCTGGTGGCCTCTGTGTCACTCTTGCTGTTGGGCTGCCACAATGTCTTCTTAAAGCCAGTAGCAGGTTTATGAAAGTGGTGGTTATATGGCTCTGATTTGTCTTAACTTTTTGGAATATGCTGTGCTGTAAACTGATTTCCCAGCTACAAGCACCTGAAAACTATAATGGTTACTATAATAAACATTGTCTATGTTCTGTTGGGATTGGCTGATCAAAGTAGGTAATTAATAAGAATTTGTTAAATGGTTGATATTCCTTTAGTTGGACATCTGGGAGATAAAACTTTCTGTTGCCAAGTTACACTGCAAGTGGCATCAGCATTTCTGTCAAACATGAAGCACATATTTGTTAAGTGTGTGGCAAAAGATAAACCTGTGCACTGTTAGAGCTGATGAACACAAGAAACTTCAGCACTAACTTTTTGCATACAAATTCTGACTCTTAAGATTGTTGTCTTGGAATAAGTTTGCCTTTGGATGCTGTTCAGCTTTATGTATTTATAAAGCTGGCTTTTCATTTGGAGAGTTTAGTATGGAGTAAGTACTGTTTCAGTGATCCTCTGACTTAAAAGGGTCTAGACTTCATCCAGATAGTCTGGAAATGGTGGGGAAAATGGGAGAGACTTCAGCTTGTCGTGTCAAGTAAACCCAGTATTTTGTTTCAATGAATAAATTGGTATAACCTGAAGTATTTGTGTTTCAGCCACTTCAGCCCCTCAACTGTTCTGTGCAGTTAACTTGTGAGTCCTCAGTTAATGTGTTGGATTGATGTTAAACCCTTGTTTTTCATTATTCCCTTGAATGTTGCCATCCAGCTTTGACTGGGCGGGTTGCTGGTCTAAAAGGAAGGGATAGCTTGAATTCTTTCAGTAATTAAATAACTTAATCTGTAAGGGAGTTAAAGTGCTTTATTACAATCTACATACATGTGCACAGCATGAAATGTGTGCTGTCCTCTCTGTTCTTTCATAAGGAAAATATTTTAAGCTTTGCAGAGGATCCTTCCTCTTTCTTTGGCATGCTTTGTCCTTAGCACTTTATCTTCCTTCTGTAAAACCATTTTCTTTCACGTCACCTGTCCATTTTCCTCTGCTCTCCACCATGGAGGTTCAAAGCCTCATTTGGTTTGCTCTCTGACTTGCCATCCTCCTTTGCAAAGTGAAGATCTGCTTTGTCCCTGCATTGATACTGCCCCTTGCTCTGCATTCAGATACCAAGAGGGAGGACAATCTTTGTACAATGCTCTTTTCTTTAGAATCTGGATAGGCTCCTTCTATCTCAAGCTGATACAGGAGAGGAAAACAAAGGGATGGGCAGCACCATGTACAAATTGGTGTTATCAGTTTGGGTACAGCCTGCAGATAGTTGCTGTTATCAAGTATACTTAAGAGACTCTGGTCAATTAGTCATGTGTGTTAACATTTTAATGCCTTGCAGCAGAAATTGTCCTGGTGTGCTTGAAAGACTGAAAACTGTATACAGGTTAACAAAAGGGGCCATTAAAAAATGTTACATTGACAATTTCACTAATATTTAACAAAATATTGAATTCTGCCTACACCTTGATAATGTCCGTGGTTATGTGATCATGTACATGTTTCTTTAGGATTTATGGCTTCTCTGGGAATATATTTGTACATTTGCTGTGGAAGAACTCGGCCCTGAATGTTCTGTAGGGGACAATTTAATTCCATTTAGGTTAATTTAAAAGATGCCCTCTAATTTGGGATGTTGAGTCTTCTGCTTTCTGTTGATAAAATAGGCACACAGCACTGCTGCTTCCACTCCTGAGTTTTACTTTGAAAACTGGACTATGCATGTGCACTTTTGTCATCATGGCAAACTTCTGGATTGTTACATGTGGCATGAATAGCCCTAGTAGTCAGTAAATAAGGCTGTGGAACCATATGGTGAGTATTGAGAGTAAAAGAAAATACCACCTTAGCTACTCACTAATTGCACACTGTTGCTCTGGCTGAGGCAGTGGTCTCATGTTTTAAGTAGATCATGATCAGATAAGGTTAATGCAGCATCTATACAGAGGTCACTTAAAGGCTTCACAAGTGAAATTGTACTGAAGTATTTCATAAGCTTAAGTGTTTAGTATTGCAGCCTTAATCTGTATAGCTCTGTGTGTTTATTATATTTATATATAGTGGCTTTTCTTTTACCTACAGTTCACCAACATATTTGTCTTTTTATTAAGAGGCTTAATATTGTCAGTGGCCATCTGTCAGGATGTTGCTCTGCATAAAAGCAAGGACTTGACTAAAAGGTATCTTTGTACACATTCCTCTTGGACCACTCAGTGACAGTCAGCCTGTTTGGTGTCTTCCCTAATAACGAGGGAAGGTGCCATCCTCTAGAAACGCTTTTCCTAAAATAATTTGCAATTGCTGTTATTCTGCTATGAGACAGAAACTTTAGGGCTGCAATTAATGTGAAATGCAGCCATGTGGTGTTGGTTACTAGGTCAGGTTTCTCACAGAAAGATTTGTCTCATCTCTTACAATTTAAAGAAATAAGTAAATAGCCCCCCTGAGTTCTCTTTAGTTTTTTAGAATTCACAGAGTATTCTAGCAGCGCATTTCTTCTGTTGGGAGTTTAGAACAACCTCACTGTATTTGCTTTGTTTGGCAATATGGACAGCATCCATCAAAAAAGCATCAGAGAAAATGTATTAAACTCCTACAAGGAGCTGCTATTGCAAGCTTGTTTTATCTTTGTGACTCCTTAGACTTCTCCATATGGCTTCATTTCAGTTTTTCAATGATGAAACAAAATACTCAGCATGTAACATTTTATATTAAATATATATGCTATATATGTATAGACATATATTTGTGTGTGTATGTGCCATATGAATGGATTGCTGTAAAATTCATGCCTTATTTTAAGAAAGTAGAATTGACTTTGTACAAAAATACTGACTCTTGCACAGATTTATTTTACAATTATATTTAGACCTCAAATTATTTGTTTTTCTTCCTTTAGAAAGGGCTGAGTTTATCAGGGAATTAAATGGCAGACCCATAACTTTGGCTCATATCTTGTAGCAAAACAAATAATGTTATTGTGTTTTAACAAATGAGTATGTATCAGATGATCCATGGTAACTTTGTGCTTGATTTTAGCGAGTAAAAACATGCTTGAGTTTAACTAAACAAATTTTACCCCAAGGAATGTTGGCTGGCATGCAGTAAACTCCAGTGAGCCTTATTAATTCATTCATGATGCCTGCCCCATAACTTCATGGGCAATAAATATTGTCCTAATTCTTACAAACAGATCCTGTAACTTCGCAGTTCAAAACAAATATAAGGGGGATGAAAGGAGGTATGTGTGACACTTGTTGGTTAGTGCAGCTATCCCATGGGGCTGTTAATCATAACTACTGCTGTCTGTGCTTGGGATTAAAATTAAATAGTCAGCACTCTTGCCTGGTCTTATGTACGTTGCAACAGCAGCATTTATATACCATGGCAGGTGTTATAGGTATCTCATTTCAGTGTTACACAGCAAAGATGCAGAATGGATGATCCATCCTGAAAGAGGAGAAAAAGCCACATCCACCCATCTTCCTCACCTTTTCTGAAATTTTTTGTTGGAGCTTGCCATCTCTAGTGCTTGCACCAGAGGTAGCACAGAATACCTGTATTTAAAACAGCTCAGCTAGAATCCCAAAGTGGGATGTGCATCTGAAATGGCTCTAAAAAATTGGAAGTACGTAATAAAATCAGGATTTTTGTCTCCACTATAATTGCAGTATTTTAAAATGTGCAGAAAAACAATCTGAGGTTGGAAGGGGGTTTGTTTTGCTTTGTTTACATTTAAACTGGTTTACTGGTTGGTTTACAATACTTTCTTTCAGAGAGCTAGGCTGAAAGCAGCAGAAGACACCAGTTGACAGTCAGTTTAATTTGCTGATTCATCTGTTACAGGGATGGCATCAGGCCAGAGCTTGGCTCGCAGACTAAAGGCTGAGAGCTGTGAAGATGCTGGGACTTGAAGGAATGTTGTTAAATTGTTACTGAGTGGAGGCAGTGAAAGTTTTTTTCTTCAGTTTTAAAGTGCTTCTAATTTTGCATTGACAGAAATCTTTCTACCTTGAACTTGAGGTGTTTTTTGGTTAAAGGGAGATGAGACAATAGAAAGATACAAGGATGGAACAGCTGGCTGTTAGTTAAGTGCTTCTTCCATGGATATCTTGTGCAACCAAAAATGCAGCTCAAATAAGCTTATGTTTCACAGCAATCAAACAGAGTTTTGGCAGAGGCTTTGCAAATGTCGTCTTTTCCTGGCAGACTTGCAAAATAAACCTGCTGGGTTAAGTAATGAGACTAAAAGGGAAAAAATCCAGGAAATCTTTTCTTGCCAACAAGCAATCTGGAAGAGGGTTACGACTGAAGAACTGATCGTTTCTAATTTAAAAGAAATGTCTTAAGTAGATTTAACTCTTTTTGCACAAAGTCTGACTTTGAGAAGAGCTTTGAGCATCTAGTTCGACATTGTGACTTCGAGAGAATATGGAATTTTGGGGTTTTTTTGTTTGGTTTTTTTAATTGCTAGACAATGGAACTAGAAATTGTTTTATGAACAGAGCAAATAACTTGCAGCCTTCTGCTTTTCAAAATAAGCTATTTCAGTAGAGGGCATGCTGTCATTTAAGTGTTTTGTATATAATATCATTCTCCTCCTCCATAGCTGTAAACACCAGCCGGTATGCTGAAAGTTATAGGATCCAGACATATGCAGAATATGTGGAGAAAAAACATGAAGAAAAACAGGCCAAGAGAAAATGTACAGAAGATAGTTGGAAGGAGATGGAGAGGAAGAGGTTAAAAACCCAGTGCACACCTTACGTTTCCCAGAGTCGATACTACTGTGTTAACAGGTGAGATGTCTGCGCTGCCAGCTCGTGTTCTTACTGCATTTCTGTCCAAAATCTAGCAATTTCCAGGTAGTTCTTAACTAATACAGGCCATTTTTTCTGTATGTATTTCTTTGCATATAAATCAGCAGTGGTACATCAGCTGTCAAAAGACGATAGGTAAAGGAGCAAAGGGAATTTTCATCACAAATGTGATCAGACAAACTTAAATGCTGGGACTTGAGGGCAGGTCACATCACAGCTTCTGAGCTTGGTGTAGTAGCATCATTTATTGTAACCAAAATTTCAAAATTATTTTCTTTAGTCGTATGACACTTGTGAATGGCTGTGTCATGTTGACACTTAGTTGTCATCATATATTCTTTTAAAGACCATGTTGGTTTTGGGCTGACTTTCCATGGTGCTAATAGTGCCACAAAGAATGGTATAAATTCTCTTCTAGAGCTGTCCTGGTGAAGTTGTCCTTATGCTTCAGAAATAGGATAGCAAATGATGATACTTGCAAGGCTTTGAGCTTTCAGTATAAAACTTGAAAAGGGCTTTAGTTCATTATTTAAGGACAAAATTAAGTCAGGACATGTTCCCTGTGTTGCTGTGTGTATTTGTTGTTCCATATTTATCTGCTGATATTAATGACAGGTTTTGGATATGATGGTAACAGGCAGCTTCTTTCTCACTCATCTGTGCAGCTGAGCGTGTGAAGAGATTTTTCGTGTTAATATAATTTTATAAGGAACCTATCAAGTTATTGCCATTCTTCCCCCTCCCTTCTCCTGCACTGTCCCCCCAGTGCTATGAATTCTGTAAGAGAATAAGTTTGAGTGGAGTGTGTAAGTTACATTTCTCTAAGCAGATGTTTTGCTTTGTTTTTGGGGGGTTTTGTCTCCTCCTCTTTGCCCTGTGGTTACACAAAGCAAATTTGGTGGTCATAAAACCAGTGCTGAGGTATTTCTGCTTTATCTTTCTTGGAGATTAAATTCTAGTTCTCATTATATCTTCCTGTAAATGTTAATTTGTCATGTAACAAATTCACTAAACTTATGATTTTGCAGGTGTGTGTTTTGGCAAGCTGTCAGATGTTCATGGCTTTTGTCATGGTGGGAATTCTAAATGCGTTATAGACGTGTTTGATTCAAAAAAACATATGGAGGAGTGATGATACAATCCGTGTCAAATGAAGCTGGTTTAATGGAACTGTTGTACTCAGGGGTCCTGGGGAGTCCCTGCTGTGAGGAGATGAGGAGCTTTTAGGATTCTCCTGGAGCAGCCTGCACGTGGCTAAGGCTTAGCTCTATAACTAAGGTGGTAGACTATTAAGTAGTCTGGAAATACTTACTACTCCTTGAGTTTGCTGCAAAGAAACACTTAGTTCTAGTTTTGTTTCTGCCAGAGGAGGTGTCTCCTCTCAATGGATGCTGGAGTTTGGGTACCTCACAGGCTCCAGGCAGATGTAATGATGGCAGCTCATGAAGGACAGGAAATGCAGAAAGCTGATTTGCTGTTGTCTTACAAAGAAGTTTAAGATCCACCACAAATGAGTCATTTGGAAAATTGCTGAACAAAATTTTCAGTAAATTTTTTTCCCTAAAAAAATTTGAGATACCCCAGTGAGTTGGTTGTCTGAGTACCTACTCTTCTTGAAAATTTTAAATGTATTTCTTCATCTAGTGTTGTAAAATTCTACAAGAAGTAGGTTTTTGTTTTCATGTGATCAGCATTTTGATAGCCTTGGATAGCAGCCTTTATTTTGTTGACAGATCTCTTGTAATTGATGTTACATAATTTTTTGTTCTCTTATTATTGCATTAATAAAGTGATTTGGTTCTGTCCCACATTTCCTCTCATGCTGGTCTTTTGACATTTTTTTTCTTAATTTATTTTTATTTTTTACCAGTTATATTTAATTATTTTGTCAACTTATATTTTGTAAATGCTTCCTCTGAAGTATAATCTGTTTAGATTGAACGTGGAAGTGCAAACCATGGTCTTTGATTTCACTCAAGATGAACTCTTTCTTTTCCAGAAAAGGTATACAAATATTTATATCTAAAGGTATATAAAATCTTTCTATTTTATCTATTATATACAATTACTTTGATATAAAATATAATATCAGTATTTATATGAACAATCAGGACAAATAAGTATGTGTGCATGTATATTTGCCCAGATTAGTTGAAGTCATATCTAACTCAGCACTGTGATGTGTCCAGCAGCTGATCCCTTATAATAGCTTCATGTTACTACATCCTTTATTTATTTATTATTTAATAAGCTTGCTGCATCAGCTTCTGCCAAGGAGCACAGCTGCAGGATAGCTGTTTCTCTCCATGATGACAATGTGTCCTGGTTACTTTTTCATTCAGTAAGGAAGTTGTTGAATATTTCTTGTAAGGAACTTCTGTCTTAAATTGACAGACTGATAAATATGTAACAAAGGTTCTATAATTATTGTCTTGTTGATAAAACTATAGTTCTGTATGGTAGAGGAATTTCTCTTCAGAAAATAAAGTTTAATAGTATTAATAGCAGTCACAAGTTAAATTATTTATAATTAGTATGTATCCCTTGCATTTAACTTAATACTACCCTTAAATATAAAAATTTATTTCAATGGAAATATGCCTAATTATTAATGTAAGATGGAGAAGTAGATGAAAAACTGCTGCATTTGACAAAATTTCAAGTAGTAAATAAGATCCCCTTGTCCAAATCTGTTGCTATTCAGGACACACATAGGAAACAGATGGAACTGGCTGTGTTGTGCTTAGCAAATGACTGCCTGCCAGCTCTGCCATGACTGTTAAATGCATGGCTTTAGAGCTTTGCCTTAGCAAAATAGTGTTAAACCATAGCAGGAAAAGTCAAATAGGGTATGCTCTATGGAAAGCTAGGTACCCTGCTCTATTTGTACTTACTTATTCTCCTGATCATCATCTGGAAAGAGCAGAGTAAGGGCAATGCCAAAAGACCCGTATGAAGTACAAGGAAGGGATGCAATATTCTGCCTAAAACTGAGTGCTGCATCTTCTGACAATTCAGGGTGCTGTTTGTAGAATGAAGATTTGCAAAATGTCTTCATTTTGCCAAAGATTATCTAATTTTTGAAATGTGCAAATGTTTCTACTTGGTTTATTGATGATGATTTGTTTGGTTTATTACAGAAATGCTTGTTTATAGTGGTTTATTACCAGTAAAGAATAGGAATTGCAAAAGCTGAGGTATTAAGGGTATAGATAACAAATATTGCAAGTAAGTTATTATAGTGTTCCTGCATGTAGTGTTATTTTAGGTGAATTCACCTGTTCTTCAGCTGAAATAACTGATCTTTATGATGGATCGGTATCTATTCCCACACCTCGATGTTGTTTCAAGTGTCAAGAGAACTTGTAGTTTTGTGTAAATGAAATTTATTTGAAATTGTAGGTCCTCATATATCCAGGCCAGTTACAAATACCTTGTTGTGATGAAGTGTTCCTTTGAAAACTCAGACAAGCTTTTCCAAAACAGATGTTAAATGCTACATCATCACAATTGTTTTCCTGCCTTTTGCTCCCCTCCACTTGCTGATTCTTTCAATTTAATTACCATAGTACTATTTAGATTGCTACTGTTTAGTATGTCTTGAAATATATAGAGTTATTGCCTGGTTAGCTGATGTACAGGTGTGTTTTAAAACCTAAGTGTTACATGGTGAGAGGATGGTGTAAATCTGTGTCTCTGCATGGTCATAAGGATCATAAAAGAAATCTGTCTGCATTGGGCAGTGGCTGAAAGCTATTGCTGTGTTTGAATCTTTAACTTTGTTCAGTTGTTTCTCAGCTGAATGGGGAAGTTGAGGCAGATATGTGGACACATCCAAAATAACTGTTATAATTAGAAAACTGAGCTTTGAGTAGTGCTCTAACTCATCTATGCAACCATACTCATTTATTACTAAGTGCATAAATAGTGTTGCTCTAATCTTTAATCTTATTTAAGGTTAAAGAAGAAGAAGACATAAGAAAATTAACCCTTTCTGCTCTAGAAGCCATGCAATCAATGAATGAATAGAAAATAAAATTATTTGGGAGAATAATGGTTCTTCATTTTAAAATATGTTTATTTCATATTTTGTGCTGCCACTTTTTGGTGCTGGGCTGTGTTTTTTCCCCATGAGGTATCTGCAGGAGGACCATAAGGCCTAAAATTAATTTTTATGTTGTACTTTGGTACCCAGCTAAATGTGCACTGAAGGTCAAGAACTTGTTTCTCTTTATTTGCAATAACTTCACAAGAGTTTTATGGTGGAAAAAATTAAATTCAGCCATAAGACCATTCAAGAAGGAATCTTCTTCCTACAGTGAGTGCAAGTTCCCTTCTGAGAGCCAAGTGCTAAATAAATCCTGGGATCATGATTTATGGTTCCTGAGTTTTTTCTTCATAATGTATTTTTCAGAATGGCTTTCCCCAAAGTAGAATTCTTACAAGCTTTTCTAAACTGTATTTTTAAAAAATAGTAGTTTTTCATTTCCTAATGCTCCTTCTTCCCTAGACATTTTTTCTTTCCAACCCTAGTTTTTCCCTGTTTTGCAATCTTGAAATGTGTACATAGGATTAACAGTTCTATCCAGCTTTTTATTGGTGGTGGTTGTGGTATGACTCAAAATGATGATTTGTAAGAAATCATGCAAGAAGGCCTTCTGTGTGTGAATGTTTGGAGGAAAAACCAGCTATTCATCAAAGTAAATGGTGTTTGTGCTCCTAAAGTGGATGTAAGAGCATGAGATGTAATCATATGTTTCATCTTTGTTTATTGCCTTTGGACATCCCAGACAGACTCTGTTTTAAGTTGCAAAATGTTCAGCTGAAAAAATTCCATTTCAAAGCCAAAAGTATACTGCAAAATTTAACAGTTCTTCCTTTAGCTGAAACCTTATTGAAACACTTTAATTCACTGCTATTGATTAAAAAGAAAAAAAATCCCTTGTAAAGTTTTGGTTTATAACTTAGTATTAATATTTATTTAGCTCACAGAACAGAACAGGGCTTAGATGCATACAGCCATGTTGTGTAGTTCTAATTAAAAAATAAAAGTTCATAAATCTAAACCTACCCTTTTTAAAATTGGTTGTTCTAAAAGCATTATATTAGACATTTAAGTAGCTGGTGTTTACATATCTAGAAGTTCATAATTGGAACTGGTTTTTAATTAGCCCCTTTGCTACCTCATTCTGCTTTATACTCATGCTAATTTGATTTTAATATTGTCATTTGTCTTCTAAGGAAATTTAACAATAGCATTTCAGTGGAACAAAAGCCTACACAAGGTTATTTCAGTGTGTGCTGAATGGAGTGGGGCTCTGAGTTCATCTTTATACTGTGTTAGTCAGCTTCATTCAAATGCTACTAATGAAATGAGTGTACAGTTTTTTGTGCTATTTATTTTATTGGCCCCATGAAAAATAGGAGTCTACCACTTGAAAGCCAGATTTAAAGTTTATATATGGAGCTTGATGGTTTTCTCTACCTTTGTATATAAATGCTTTTAAAGCTACCTGTAGTTCCAGGAGAGAGGTGAAGTTGGCATGTTGACTCCTTCAGTTTCGGTGTGTGGTTTTAAGGCCTCGGTTGTGCATAGTTTGGTGTCTACTGACAGTGCTTTTAAGAGCTTGCATAACTATGAGAGCAACATGTAAAACTGTGCAGGGATAGAGAACTGATTTAAATACATTTCAGATGGGTGATCTCATCAGAATAGCAGCTAAGTCTGAGACAGCAGTAGTACAGAAAATGAATACCTTGATCTACATAAGATTGGATTAGGTAGCAAATTTAAGGAATTTTATAGTTAAGCCAAATCTTTTAGATAATGTAATTTCATGGTACACCACTTAGGACAGTTTATTCTTCTACATTCTTAAGCATTTAATAGATGTACAACAATGTGTACCTATGTAGTAGTTACTCTTGACTTTTTCCCAATCATCTTTCTTCTGTGTTCCAGTTTTACAGGTACCAGTACAGTGGGAAAGAGAAGCATGAGTCCTATTGAGGAGGAAACTGTTTCTGATGATATGGAAGAGGGAGAAGGCCAAGATCCAGAAAATGATCAGACAGACTCCTGCGCAGAGTCCCTTCCAGATGGTAAGAAGAGAGCCAAAAAGTTGAAAAAGATCAAGACAGAACAAGTTCCAGCAGGTAAGTGCTAGAATCATGTTAATGCACATGGTTTTCTCTTCTGTTTGGAAGTGTTCTAGGCCTGAACAGAACTAAAATTCTTTTCCTGAAAGTTGTTGCTTCTAGCAGTAACTTACTCCATACGTTCAAATTTCTTCTTGAAACTGAAGACTGCATCATATAAAAAAAAATAAAATCTTGATGTAATTTTTATTCCATGATTCTGTCTTCTAGGAAGCCTCACAACTAGTTCCTCTGGAATTTTTGAGGTCCCTGAAACATGGTAGGAAACAACTGCCTTAAAAAGTGGAGTTGATTGAAAGCAGTTGAGAGAATACACCTCTTGGAAGCCATACTTTATTTAAATAAAGTGGTGTTAACAAAACAGTATGTGTCCTGAAAATCAGTTTAATTATTTTAAACTGTTTCTTGAACAATCACTGTCAACTTTGCTCGTGTGTACATCACCTAGTGTATGACTTGTCGTTGATCCTGTGAAATCCTTGCTGTTGTAACTGATGTTAGGTTTAAGAAGCAAGACTCATTGTCCTTTGGTCACCTCCTTTGGCATGCTGGCTGTGAACTGTACAAGAACTGGCACTCTGTGATTTCGTGCTAGGCTGTTTCCTTTGCTTGGGGAGTGAGCACAGCTCTCCTAATATTTAACTATTTTTTCAGGCAGCTTCAGTATGCTGTCAGCATTCTGGGAACAGGTGGAGCTGCAGTTTTACTTATTGCTTTCTACCTGTTACTTTATCCAGGAACATTTCTTGAATTTCTGTTCTCTACCCCCACCCCCAGTGCAGGTGGTATTCATCTAAATACAGCCTTACACATACTTACCCTGTCAAAAAACTGTAACTTAAAAGTTTCTCAAACATTAATTTCCTGGTGGGAGGTAGTTTTTCTTTGTTTTCACATCTGTTGTTCCCACTTTTAAATCCTGATTCTGTAAAAAATGTTTTTTGGTAAATGTGATGAACCTGCTAACTGCACCAGCCCTTTATTTGTTTAAAAAAAGATCTGCATTGGTAGATTTCAGAAAATGTTTGATATTTAAATTTTTGTATCATGGAAATAAAACCAAAATATGTATTTCCATAACATGAAAATTAAAGACATTTTCTTAGGAACTGGTTTGTTTTTATTTATTAGCGCCTGAAATGGTTTGAGTGAGTTATTTTTTTTATTTTCCATCTTCCTAGTATAACAATTTTTTGTCATCCTGTGAGTAGCAGACCATTTTGTTCCATGGACTATTTTCAAGATATTTGTGAAATGTAACCAAGAAAAGCAAGCTTATTGTCATAAGATTTAAATTGCTATGTGTTTCCCTTGGAGGGTGAAAACAAAAGAATTCTACAAATCAGCAAATTCAGAACCATTTCTGAGGAAGAGTGGAATATTAAGAAGGCTTCATTATATCATATTTACACTAGAGTGGGAACCACTGTCTATTAAATGTGGAACAACCTGTTTGAAGCTATGTCAAAATTCATGGGTTTTTAAATGATTGTCAACTTGCATTAGAAAGGGAAAAAATAATTTCAAGATGTTAAATGTGAAATGTTGCATTTCTAACCTTAGAATACTCCCAGAAGTACTATAATTAAATTGTTTAATAGCAGCTCTATCATCACATTCTCACATTAAAATGTGGGAAAGAAGACTTGCTATTAGTGATGCAAGGGAAAATTAGTAACTGAACTCTTCTGCTCTCCAGAATCCAGAGACTTTTCTTCCCCAAGACTCGTGACCTTGGAACTAAATACTTGAATCACTTTCATCTTGAGTATCCAAACCAATTGTAAATTTAGTTCTGAGAATATGTGCAACATCTAGTACAGTCAAATGGAGTCTTCATCTGTTGTGGAGGTGATTCAGGTAAATCACATGGTGTTCTATCCAAATGTTGGAGTGAGTTATTAACTGTATATCCTAAAGAACTGGCTTAGCATGATTTGGGACAGAGCTTGAGTCATGATGACAAAAGGTTACAGAAGCATTTAAGGGGATTGTCAGAAGTACAGGTTAAGGGGCAAGGAATTAGCTGCTCAAGAGACACAAAGGGCCTCAGTGTCGCAGAGAAATCCACCTGAAGTCTGTACCCTGAGGCCATTAGGATCTTCTTCACTCTTGAACAGCAATGCTTACATACCTGCAGGGAAAATTCAAGTCTTAATTACATTATAATCCAATGTCTTAAAACTTGCTTCTTCAGAATAGGCTGCATACATACCTGTCTACACTACAAAGGTTAACAGCTATACTCACTATTTCTATGCACCTCCTCTCAGGTGTCGTTTTGAGAAGCTGGATGTTATTGATCTCTATCAGTAATTAATACCGCTTAAGAAAACAGGGTTCTTGCATGCCCTAGTCTTTATGTGTGTTTGATTTTACCAGCTGACACCTGGGTAAGCTATTAAACTGTGCTGGATGGGGCTGTAACGTTGCTGACACTGAGTGTGGGAGTCAGGGCCGGCAGTGTCCTAAGCAGGGACTGACGCCGCTCATCCTGCACCAGACCCGCTCTTGTCTGGGGTTTGGTCCGCTTCCCGGCGCCTTAAATGAAATCATTAATTCTAGAAGGGAAAGAATGTAGCTTAAATTAGATCCACATTTATTTCATAATGTATGTTTGAAATATATGCATAGAATTTGTTTTGGGAAAGCAAAGCTGTCATCACTAGTTGTGATGGCTCTGGGGCTTCCTGGTCACTGGGGGTTTGTGCTGTTACTGACTCCAGAGGTCAGTGAATCACAGAATATCCTGAGGATCGTCGGGTCCAGCTCCTGGCCCCTCACCGGACAGCCCCGAGCTCTGCCGTGTGCCTGGCAGCGTGGTACGGGCGCCTCTCGCCCTCGGTGCCCCGCTCCCCTCAGGGCCGGGCGGGCGCTGGCGGCGCGGCCGCCGCCCCTCCTCTCCCCGCCGGCCGTGTGGGGCTGGGGGCTGCAGCCGCCCTGAGTTGTGCTTGTGCCTTGCGACTGTCTGAAGGAGCAGGCATGACCTTGCCCTCGGTAGTGCTGACGTGGAACGTTTTCCTCGGCAGCCGTGCAGCGGCTGTGCTGCGGCGCTGGGTTCCCCGCGTTCCTGCTTGGGGCAGGGTCCGGAGCGGGCAGGCCTCCCCTCTGAGGGGACGGAGCTGGGGGACGCTGAGGAGGTGTAAGAAGCAACAAGCAACAATGTATAGAAGTGCTGGAAGCAGGCGTTGGAGGAATTGAGGAATTGCCTTGAGAAAATGAGGGAATTTTGGGAATTTTGTAAGTGTTTTTAAAAAAAAGGACACTTGGAAGTGTAGGCCTGAACATGGCAGTCTCTGACGAAATTGTGTGGAGAAACGTGAGGGAGGTGAGCTGAAATCCTGCCACTGCACACCAACGAGAATTAGCTTATTTGGCTGGAACTGAGACTTGACAGTGGTAATTTATCTGTGGTGATGGAGTACTTCAGTGTTCACCTCAGAAAGCACACTAAAACTGTATTTGAAATAATAATTTTCAAATTCATCTCAAGTACTTATGGGTGGGAAGTGTTAACGAGTCAAAATGCCCAGGATTGCAGCACAGGATGTAGGAATTTGCTGGCATACGAGAAATAGGGATAATTGTCCTGTGGACTAAGGGAAGAGTGTGAGTGTCCCTAAAGCATGGATTTGAGTCGGAACAGGTAAGAGACTGAATGAATCTTATATGAAATTAAGATTGTGAGTGCAATGGCCTGTTTGTGGTCTCAGATTTGAGCTTATGATTTGGAGCAAAAAGTTAAAAGCTTCAGATGATTTAGATGGAGAACTAAATTTTATGATGGACCCAGTGGTAAAACCACGAGAGAGATAGAAAGCTGAAACTTCTTGTGATTGTGGGAAAAAAGTAAATGTTGTAATTCTTTCTTTCTTTAAACTTTTGAGTTCTGTCATGGTGCCCAGAAAATGTCTGGTACCCTGGATGTGTTCACTGTCTTTAAATCATAGTAAATGTAATGCAGACAAAAATGTCCTCTGTGATTCAGAGTCAGAGCATAAAGACTCCTGACAATCAAAAGTTCTTGGCTTCTGATGTGTTTAGACTACTGCCAGCTGAACAGATGTGTACATTGAAGAAGATTCCTCAAGTTACTCCACAGTACATTTAGTAAATGAATAAATATTTGCTTGTTTGTATTGTACTGTTACAGCTTTAAACTAACGCTACATGTGTGCTTTACAGATATACTGCTACATGTTCATTGGATGAGGAGCAATTGATGGTGGGTTAGTCTGAATTTTATAGGGTCAATGAATACATATTTAGGATGTTCTTTTTGCTGCAATAGGTATGCAGGAAGCTCATTTTAAAGGGTTTTTTTTTTTTTCTCTTTTCCATCAGAGTAATTGTTGGCAGCCATGTGCTTCCATGAGTGCAGTGCTGTAGCAGATCACAGGTCAGTCCCAGCTCAAGGCAAACTTGTATGGAACACATCTATTCAGAAATGCAGTATAGAAAGCATTCAGCCAAACTGGGAAAAGTTAGTTTCCCTGCATGTATATTAATTTCTGAAAAGAGCTGATAGCTCTATTTGTACACAAGCAGTCAACAGTCTGCAAGTTTTGCAAACAGTGTTGTGGTTTATTACCAGAGTGACCCTGTATGATGGGGCAGGTGTGGTGTGCAGCTGAACATGAACGTCTGGAGGTTGCTGCTGTGCTGAGCCACTTGAACCCTAATCTGTGACCTGTTTTCAACCCATCAAATGACTGAAAATACAATTGTATTAAAGCTGATTGCTTAAAAAAAACCTTTGAAGTTAACAATTCCTTTTATTAGCCTCAAAAAGCTTTGCACTGTTACTGAGGTAAGAATGGCTATTTTATTTGACTTTAAATATGTATTATAACTTTGAATAATTCCTTCAGATGGGGTTTTAAACTTAGAATGTTTAAAGATGACTGAACATGTTTAGTTCATGTGTATATACTCAGGGGTGTTTTTTTTAATTTGTTGTTCTTTTTTTTTTATTAGATGTTAGGTGACTTAATTGTAGGATACTTCTTACTTCAAAAATAAGTCTGCTCCAAACATATGCATATGTCTACAATTTAAAATTTTTGCATTAGGGGAAGTTGCTTGCCTCATTTGCAATAAAAAACTGATACATGTTTGCTAACATTACCACAGCAATTTAAAATTGACCCTCCATTCTGTTTAGAAAAGGTCTCTGCTTCAGCCTTTCCTTCCAATTCTTTCATATGCTCGATTTAATTTCAGTTGTCCAATTTTTGATGTGCTGTTGAGAAGCTGCCAGTTACCATCAGAAACCTGCTACAATGGTGTAGAACTGCTGAAAGTGGAAATAATAGTTCAGTTGTTTGCTCCTGTGCTGAGCATGTTGTCTTCAATGAATAATGCAGTGTTGCAAAGAGATGATTTGCCAGAGAATTTCCCCTCAGTATTGCTGGACTCCCTCACCCATAGACTGGTAACCCTTTCTGCTGGGTTGTGCCACAGTCCCCTGGGGTTTTACAGTAATTGTTACTATAACAGATTAAAGGGTGGTAGTACTCAGTGATGAGTCTGTGAAGAAGTTAATGGGAACTGGCAAATTTTAGGAGGTAGATGAGGTGTTGCTTGAAATGTTTAATATTCCATTCTCATAGAACAGATCTGTATTTTTAGTGTACTGCATTTTTAGTGCTTCAATCAGGTTCCTTAATTGAAGTAAATTCTTCTGTCTTGTAGAGGGTGCAGCTCTAAGGTGTTCCAAAGTGTTTATAACATCTTAATAATAATTTCTAGAGGTATATTTGCAATTATGTGCAGAAGAATTTTTGGTTTTAAACATGTCCAAGAACAGGAGTTTAAAATGTAATTGTTCATTTAATTCATGTCTAATATGAAATTTAGGATAAGAATGTGTCTGAAGTAAAAAGGAGTTTTAGTGGCAGAATTGCTTGTTTAGTACCTTTGGGTCTTTTTATGCCTTCTTTTTGTTTTTGAAAAAAAGAACTAGAAGAATTAGACTAAATATAAACTAAATATGAAAACATTTTAGAGTGATGGTTTTAGCAAATACCTCTTTTCCTTACAACCATTCTGAAAGATATTTTGAAACCCTTATGATGACAATATGAGTAATAGTTCATATTGAAATCTA